TTCTTTTTCTTTTTTTTTTTTTTTTTTTTGAGATTCTCTCCCTTTCAAAGTTAACTTCTTCCTCGACGACAATTCTATTATTCCGGTCGGTGAATCGTATCTGGAATAATAATAATGTTCGATAATAACGATGTCACGAATTTTTTTCTCGAGTTAATCAAGTCGAACACGATGCTCTGTGGAGAACGAGCGACTGATTAAAAAATTGATTGTCGCCTCGACATATATCTCCTCTCTTTTCGGTGGTTGGTTGTTCTCCTAGCTGTAGATAAGATATAAGTCTTCCTCTGTCTTCCTCTTTCTTTCTTACCTGCCTCATTATAGCGGACGGTCAGATGATGAGATATTATTATTCATTGTTTCGTGCGATGTGTGTATTTTTGTGCATTTATGAGGGATTCAGAAAGGATGTAGATGAGTGAAGATAAAATTGAAGATGAGACGCGATTAAATTTTGTATGGAATTTTGTATAAGAGGAAATTTGTTGATCTTGTATGGAATTTTTTTTGTACTGTTACTACTATAAGAGTATCAATCGTATTTATCTTCTCCTTGCCAAATATTCTTTTTTTTAAATACATAAAGTATCGAAAGGCAAAGCATTTGATCTAGAAACGAGGAAAAATGAAGAAAAACGAGTCCATGTTATTATTGTTATCTTTGTCATTACGTGTTAATATTTAAATTTTCTTTAATGTCTTCTTAATTATCCTGTTATTATACACATTTGACGATAAACACATTTTGATTCGAAAATATAGGATAAAATTTTTAACAATTGTGATAAGCGTTTTAAAAAAGTTTAAAAAAAAAAAAAAAGAACTTAAAACTTACTTAAAACGAAAGTCATTTTAAATTTATTCTTATCCAAATTTCAAACGAATAATTGAATTTTTCCTTTCTTTCTCCGTAGTTGGTTTTAAAATAAACATTTCGGATTATTAAGAAAAAAAGAAAAGAAGAAAGAGAAAGACATTATTACAAATTCTCGTAGATAGAGGTTTTATGCACGTATGAGTACAAGTGTGAGTAAATCATACGTGTTAAGATGTGTTTTGCAATTGGCCCTGTCACGATACGATCTAAACTCGATAACGCAGTTAAAACAGCAGGTATCACGGGATTTCTAATTGCTTTAGATTACTTTGATTAAAATACGCTAGTTTACCGATGCTTGTTTCATTATGCACCGATATCAACGACACATTTATCCGAAACTGAAAACAGTTTCTCCGTTATATTCTCCGACCTGCTATATATAATATAATTTCTCAAGAATTTTCTCAAATTTCACAAAACTATCGTTTCTTTTTTTTTTTTTTTTATTTGGAATTAATTTTTCTTAGACGAAACATTATCGTGACTCATTTTAATGACAAAGATATTTCTAGAAGAATTGTTTGCTCTCGAAACATACCATCGAAACATTGTAAAATTTTATTCAATTTATTGGAACAATGTTGATTAAATTAATTTTTGTAACGACTTTTACTATCGAATTTATTTACTCGTTTATTCGTATATGGAAAATAAACGAATTTTTATCGATAATGAATTCACTTATTTACAATGTTCAATGTTCAGGAAATATTATCTAATTGGAGATATTAAACGTAAGATGGTCATTTAGAATCCTCATTAGAATTCTTGTGCAATTATTATATATAAGAACACGTTTTTGTATGTTTTATAATCATATACGGTTCCAATAGACGTAATTAAATTTTAAAAATTTCAAGAATTTTTAAGAAAATATGATTTAAATATGTGTTTTAGAATTATCTACAAAGTTTACTCGAAATTCAGATCGCACGATGTCAAATGCACTTTATGCAATCTATCTTACAAATAACTTTTGAAGGCCAAGATCTAAACTGCTTCTATAATGTTCTCTTTAATGATTTAACATTTCATTTATAACCTAATTGCTTCCATCTCTTTGTATCTCGATCTATTTTCATTTCTTACGATCCTTCTTGCGATATATAGTTGTAATAATTATAATTTATGCGTATCTCATTTTGGACAATCAGGAAATCTGCAAATCTTAAAGATGATTTGCTGATGAAGCCAACAGAGTAATCAAATTGTTTGAGAAATCCTCGTGTCAACATGAAATATTCACAAATTTTCATAATAATATTAAAAATATCTTTTCCTAATCCAAAAGTTTCCTAAAAGTTCTTTTCGATTTTTCTTAGTTAATTTCTGATATCTATTCCAGGTATATACGTAAGTCGAAACTTACTTACTTACTTTTTTATCCATAAAATTATCGAGATAATAACGTGAATCGTAAGAACGAGATTTTTCTTTTCTTTTAAATTGTCTTGATTTCTTGGTATCACTTTGATTATCCACTGTGTAACTTCTAGAGATTTCGACACGTGAAACGAAGCTGACAATGCGCTCTTCAACTGTATTTACGATAGTAAAGCAACATTTTCAGGACTGTATGCACCGTGTCCAAATAATGAGTATCGCAACAGAATGTTTACATGAGATTCCGTTAAGTGAGGTAACATGTTTGTCGCGTAATACATTGTACATATATCATACTTGGAAACTCTATCTGCAATTTATTCTGTAATATTACAATTTAATCTTCTAGAAATGAATAACTCTTTTATTGCGATTGTTTACTTGATATTTACAATATTTGGTACATATTCAAAAGGAAATGTCGATCATGCCTATTAATTTTTCATATGTTTCCTAAACAAGATTTTTCGATTATCTTCCATTTAAAAGGATTATTCTGTTTTTCCAATATTCTTTCAATTACGACTTCTCTTTCTTAATTTCATAATCCTCCACTCCTTTTGTATAAAAGAAAAATTAAAAAATTAGCAAGAGTGAATATTTTTCAAAATATTTAATTGTCAATCAACTTTTTAAAAAACAAGGAACGACGATTAAATTTTTTGTGAAGATCAGAAAGGTGACCTTGACAATCTAATCTTTGATTCACAGTTAACCTATTCAATGCCAAAATGGTACGTTTTACTTGTCAACAAGCAACGGTTACATCCTTCTGGAAATCGTTTAAGAGGATAACCTTGAAAATGTACGTATGGAGATCAAGGTCATTTGAAGTTCCATTAACGCAGTATTTATTTTAATACTAATTTTAACGTCACGATTAATACTATCTTTGAATTGAATAAGAAGAGGAAGAAAAAATCATTAGGATATTCTTAACATTAATATGTTAATGGAATAAAATAAATTTAAATTAAAATAACTAAAAATCATTATATCATAACGTAATAATCATTGACTTATGTAAATAAATACAAGTACAAGCAATAATATCTTAGATAAATATTATTCCACAAAATATTGATTTTACAAATCGTCTTTTTTTAATTTTGTTACAAAGTCGAAAAACTCGACACGATGTTCGATAAAATTTATTTATTTAATTTTTACAGATTAAAAACAAACGAAACATGAAACAACATATTGAAAAAAAGCTCGATGGAATTTTAATCTAGTAAAAGAATTTTAATCTAATAAAAAGAACACAAAAGAAAATTATTAAATTTGTATTTAGGTCAAAATATCTATTCGAGTGTAATAATGATTAATCGTAATTTTGGCGCGAAAACACGAGCGGAAGTGGAGAGGGAATCCATGTTGATCGCACGTTTGACGCGTAATAAATTCATCGATAAGAATATATATATAACCGATATACAAATAAATTATTTTTATTTTTTTAAGTGGTATAAATTCTTTTATTGTCTCGAAACACTTAAGAGTTATTAGTAAGTAATTTTTAATGTAAATATCATTATTTAAATGTAATTATCGTAATTAAGATAATTATAAAGCTCTTTGTTAATAACGTTTGTTAATTATTATATTATCTATTCTTTGTGAATTATATCTTTTTATGTTCTTTGAGTAAATTGGATTTTTTATATTCAAGCCTAATTTGTATCGTTTGAAAAAAATTTTCAATGTTCACCACGTGAATTTACAACGTTATTAAGTATATACTTATAATTTTACTAAAATATTTCTTTCGATAAGAATTGAAAAGAAAATTAAAAATTGAATTTTATGAACACAGTACATATCCTGAGTATTTCTTTCTTTCTATACAGTGAATTTTATTAAATTAAATCAATAACAGTAGTGACAAAGATGTACTTATCGTTTATTCTCATTTCAATCTGTTTATAAGTTTAGAAATAAAATGTTTTGTCAAATAATTTATCAAGAATCAATTTATAGTATTAATAATATTGAAGAAGAATATTCTATTTCTCAATCCAAAATTTTGGATATTTATAATTTCGTCGAAAAGAAATGATTATAACATCGAACAATATTGCCCATTTTTAATTTTGTATCGTGTATACTATTTGTTATTTTATTACATGAACTTTATCCTCCAATAATTAAAAATGTTCGAAAAGGAAATTTAATAAAATACAAGTGAAACTGTTATTCTTTGATTTCAAGAGAAAGAGAAACAAAGAGAACAATAAAGTTAAATATGCAACATCATTGGCAAAGAGAAGAAAAATATTTAGTCGTATATCATATTATTTTAAGTCCAATTGACCTAGACGTGATAATTGTTTGATGTGAAAGATAAAAATCAGTCGAGGCGTAAACCCGTCTCATCAAATTAATTAGACGTAAACACGCTTATCAAATGAATAGAATCGAATAACAACGAAAAGTTTCGTGATCTAACTCTGAATGAACGATCTAGAAAGTTTTATCAAATGTGTCTATAAACCAGTTATCTATAAAATAATATAGATAATATAGATTAGGTATGGAGATTGACGTGTAAACAAATTGAATTAGAATTGGAATTACAAATAGATGTTCAGTGTTGATGAAGCTCGAGATTAGGCTAATTAAGAAATAATCTTGGATTTTTACCTGGTATTTAAGAAGGAGAAACTTTGATTAAAAGATTAAGTGATGGTGCTTATAAATATATTAAAAAATTTATTTCCAAATACGGTTAATTTCCAATACGAATCTGACTTAATTTGATCCAACAGATCATAATTTAATTCGATTACCTTATTTCAAATTTATTACATTTAATTTCGACAACTCAGTATAACAATTTTAATCGAAATCGATTTAATTTAACGATGCGACTCAGATCAATTCAATCAGATTCAATTTATAACTTGATATTTGGATCAATATAATTTAACTCAGCTTCTCAACATAAATTCTACTTTATACACGATCGAAATGATTTTTAACTCATTTAAACGAGCTATCTTAATTTGATCAATTTTAAATTTATACGCGCTTGAACTTAATCTAACCTAACTTGACCTGAACTATTTTCTACTTAATTTATTTCAGACTTATTTCAGAAATTACCGCTCGAAACTGATTTGAGTGTAGATCGTATACGTTCCAAGAATTCGAATTAATTCGAATTACTTTCCGTCAATTATTTAAATAACCTTCGAAAAAGTTAAAAGTTAAGAACTAATTAAGCCTCGATATTGTATGCATTTCCCAGAAACACATAAGAAAATTAATTCAGTTTAACTAGCGTGCAAACAAAACAGTATCACCAGACTTATCACTAATCATCGTTGATATGTTGTAAAAAATCGTGAAAAAAAATAGCAGGACTATAAACTATAAATAAATTAAAGAAGCAATATTATCGTCTTATGTACAATATCATCGATTTTAATAAAACGTGCGTCAATTTTTTTTTTTTTAGAAAATATTCTATTTGTTTTTCTTTTTTTTTTTTCAACAAGATTCGTTACACTTTGACGAATTTGAGGGATTAATTTTATATTTTAGATGGAGATTATTATTATTGTTATTGTGACAGAAAGAATTATGGCGATAAAATCTTCATATTTTGGAGTGATTTATCTTGGTTTTGTTATCCAAATCGAATATTTCTAATGATCGAAACATATATTTCAGAAGGTCGTTGGCTGAGGAATGACTTTGTCACGTTTGTTGCTATTTTTATGAAATTCTCAATTCGTGGAAATTCGTGGAATGATCAAAAATAATCAAGATATTAGTTGAACGACAATGAATGAATAATTATTTGTTTGTTATTTTTTTTTTTATATCTTGCTTCGACGATATTGGAATCATTGATTGATGATTACGAATTATTCTCTAATTACTTCGTATTACTCCGTATTACATAGTAAAAAAAAAAAAAAAAAAAGAGGAAAAAAAAATAAATCGATCAAAATTACGATATTCTATTTATTTCAAGTAATGAAAATCTAATCAAACGATCCAAGTTTCAAAATGTTTTCCTAAACACGTTAGAAGAAAATAAAAGAACAAAAATTAAATTTGCGATGTAATAAAATTTTTACAAATTTCTACGCGTTATTATTTCTTTTATAATTTCGAAGAAAAAAATGATATAAAAATATTAGTGAACAACAAATTTTCTTATATTATAAAAAAAAAGAGGAGAAAAGATACTAAAAAATAAATTTCTAGTAAAAATTATTGATTAATAATTATATTTTTATTAATAAAAATATTTAAAATATTTAAAAATATTTAAAATCACAAAACAAAAAGTATCAAAATGAAAGACAATTTTTATTTTATATACGTTGATACAACGAAATATCCTAATAAAATCTCCTTTAATTTGTTGTTATTATTCATAGCTTTTTATCCTAAAATGATAATTTTTTTTCGTAATAATCCGACAATATCCGATATTTAATTCAAATTAATATTAAATGTCAGATTTGATCCCGATTATCGTTACCAATGAACAAATGAATGAAAACTGTCGCTATTTTACTCGGATTTATTGGCCAAGAATTAAATGTTATATAATCAGGATGGCGTTTTCGATATCTGCTTTATGAGACACGTGCACAATATTGTTGTCATGTTATTAAAATTAATTCAAACATTAAATTATAGAGTTATTATGATTTTTGTGATACGAGATATAAAAATAAAAGAAATTTATAAAATACGATTGACTTGTTGTTATTAACATTTTTTTCATAAATATTTTCATTCATGAAAATGTTTTCATCAAATTATTATCTTATTATCGTGGAATATTTGGAAAATACCTTTTAAATCAAGAATCTAACTTCGTTTCATAGAGATAAAATAATTCATTCATATGACCCATTATTTAATTTTTTAAGTTATTTTATAAATTATTTTATTATTAATAACTTAAATTAATAATTAAATCATATACACAGAATTCTTGTCAAAATTATTAAGAATATTTAAAAATAATACAAAATGTCAAAATCTTTGTTCATACAAAAAATATATACAAAATTTAATTTGTATAAAACATTTAGATATCTAAATAATTTAAATTCTAACAAATTTAAAATCTATATATAACATAATAAAATATAAAAACGTATATTTACTATTACTTTCTCACCGAATTTCAAACAAACTTGCTTAAAATAAAGCACAAGCCAAATAAAATCAATCACCAACAATGATCAAAAACAGATTGAAAAATTTACAAATTCACAACAAATATCATCGATCAAATTTTCAATGTAAATACATATTTTACACAGTTTCTATTATTTTAACAAAAATCTCAGAAAAACTTTCATTTACACCACTTTCTTAAACTTTCAATCAATCAAAAATAAAATTCTTCCAATATATTGAAACACATATTAAATCAAACTCACACGAACTCAAACGAAATTAATTTACCGATATGATCGACCAATCACTTTTCTTCCTTCGTAAGAAAAAAAAGGAGGATTTTTTTAATATATTCGAACGAAAGTGATAAAAAGAAAGAACGAGGCGTATAGTAGAAGACTCTGTCAGGCATAAAGCGAAACTAAAGCGTGTAAATCGCGGATCGACAAGGCACAGCCTGTAATTTTCCTTAAGTTCGCATATCGTGCACACGCGCGCGCGTATTATGTTGGCACGCGATCGGTGGATTCGCGCCAAATATTCGATCGTCGTCTTAATATTTCCGCCATCGATGCGCCGTGATAATAATCATCAATTGCTATCGTCTGATTCTATCACTTTTACAAGAATTTAGTCGTTGGAAAAGTGTAAAAAAAAAAGAAAAAAGAGAAAAAGAGAAGAAAAAGATCGATATATCGCAATGTAGAGATGTAGGGTGAATCGAGATGAAAGAATCGTTTCCGTTAAAATGGCCGCAGTCCAACTGCTTCAATTCGCTGCTTATACTTCGTTTCAATGTCAACAATGTTGAGTAGGCTTACACGTAGCCGTAAAATATAAGCCACGAAAATAGAGCGAATTTTTAGTGAAGTTTGTTTTTTGAGGTTATGAGAATCACGCACAAAATTTTCACTGATTGAAAATGAGGATTGATAGAAGTGTTTTATAATGAAAGGAATTGCAATTGTGAAACTTTATTATACGTGAAAAGTGTTTTTGTAGTGTAAGATTTGTTGATAATATTTATATTATGGATTTTCAAGGATTTGACGTAAATAATTGTACATTTCGAATGGCAAGAAGAAAGGAAAAGTTATTTCTTTAATTGTAATAATTGATTGACATAGGTGTTTTATAAAGTGTTTTCTATTGTGTATTTCGAATCGTATGAAATTTCCGTGTTTATAATGTGTCATGTTCGATTAAAATAGAAAATATCGATTATTGTGTTTTTCATAATTGTTCATTTGAGAAAAAAGACTCATAAAAATCATTTTTATTTTTCATAAATATCTAAGTTTTATTATTCAAATGCATAATTCAAATACTCAAAAAAATTTTTATAAATATATGATAATCCTTCTTTTCGAAGTAGAATAACCTTAAATTGTATAATACATAATAGGAAATGACATTTGTATTAGTCATCACTTTTCTGTATTACACAATTTATGTATAGAATCAACAATTTTATATTTATCTATTTCAACGATTCTGGCAATGAACTACATAAATGTATATATGTATAGTTTATAAATACATATATATGCGAAATATAATATATTTTTAATTCAAATATATCTGAAATTTTAAATTAAAAAAAATTTTTACTTTTAGTCAAACTATTCAAATTAATTATTTAATATATAAATAAAATAACTTAATATTAAAAGTATAGTATACTGGCCTACGATATTGCCATTGAATTATGCCATGAATAAAGAAATTTAAATGAGGATAGGAAATTTTGATTAATATTATGATTCTAACCATATCTATTCATTAAACTATAATAAATACATCATTTTAAATGGATAAATCAATACATAATAATTTTGTTAAAAAAGAAAAAATTTTAAATAAATCATATTTTTCATTGATTATAAATAAATCTGATTGTTCATAGAGTTTTGATTAATCGATCTAAATCAGTGTTTTTCAATTATTTTTGAATTATGATTTTTTTTTTAACATTTAAATAATTTACATTCTTTTATAAGATGAGAATTATTTAAACTATTAATAATAATTTTATTGGCACGAAATAAATAGCAATATTATTTTAAATTTTTGAATTAATGAATAATAAAATCATAGTGATAATCTCTTGAATATGATAATATAATTAGATATATTAGAATAAAAATCGTATTAAAAATCAATTAAAAATAACAGCCTTAGAAAACAAGTTATGATTCATAGATTGAGAACCACTGATCTAGATAAATTTCATTGTCAGTATTCGTTTAGTAAATTAATAGATATATATATATATACTCTTAACTTATTTTATTCGATTATTAAAAACAGACAAGGAATAATAAACAAAAAAAAGAATTATTCAGAATGGTTCATAGTTTTTTGCTCGAAATGTCGTTGCGACGCCTTAATTAGAATGTAAGCCACGGCGAAGGACTATTTAATTCACCAGCCAAATTTCTTGAATACGCGAGTGTGTATGTGTGTACATATAGTAATAATATTTAAATTTTGTTAAATTATCATTACAATATGAATATTATGTTATATTTATGTTATATTTATAAGAAATATAATAATTTTATTATAATTCTCAATTGATATTGTCGAATTACAAATAATATTAATTATTTAATTTTATAAGATATTTATTTTATGTTTACTAATATAACTATTAGTGATGATTACTACTAATAATGTAAAATATGGAACACAAATTAAATGAAAATATTTTAAATTATGCAAAAATGATATATCAAAATTTCTTAACTCATATGTTTCTTTTTGAAAACTTCTTGATAATGGAATATTTAAAAAATTTTTACAAATATTTTTTCAACCTATATACATACCAAGATAACTGCATTACTTAGCGATGATCTAACAATATGTATAATATAATGTGATAATTTATGAAGATTAAACTTTTAAACATTTCTAAACTTTTGTTTCTATATTATATATGCGTATATGTATATGTGCATTCGTTTACGTATATATTTGTCTAATGAAAAATAAAGAGAGAACTGATTCTTCGATTGATCTAAGAGTCAATCTAGAATTTCTGTGTTAATATATTCATGAAGCATTCGGATCAATTCTATAGGCTAAAACTAACACAAAAGTCAATATACAAAAATCTCGATTTCGAAACTTATTTATTAAATTATAAGCAATTTAAGTTAAGCATTACATGAAGCAAGATGAGAATAGAATGCAACAATAGTGTAACAAAGACAAAACAATCTTGTTCTATTTTCATTTTGCTTCATCTACACAAACTTCAATTGCTTGTATATTAATAAATAAATTTTAATCGATAATTACAAAATTATCGATTAATTACTAACTTTTGTATTTATTTTAATTTTTGGAATCTATCCTTTAAAAATATCTCACGAATATATTAACATCCTGTAGATTAAATTAAATCGAGAGCACGACAGTATTGCCGCGCTTACACAGAACACTTGCACACCGTCTCGATCTATGTTTCTACTTGTCACCTAGATCGACTTGCCATCTAATTATGTTATAATACGTTTTTGAACCGAGTTAATTTAGATTCAGGTGTTGGATAGGATGGAGTGTGTTGTGGGTCAGTAGACATGATTTCGACACACGTGTTGCTTGTTAACCTCTCAACAGACTTATGTCTGTATTTAATCTGTTCGTCATTCAATTATTTACTTTTGTGATTGATCTCTATCAATAAAAATTATGATATTTTATATAAACATATGTAATCTATTAAAGATATATTATATCAATTATTATTGTTATTATCTATATTATTGTAATTTATTGAAAAAAATTAAATCTTAATGTTTAATTTGTAAACAAAAATTTGATGGAATAAAATTAAAAAGTTACATGAAGAGTTAAGGAATTTATTATTATCAAAATAAGATGGATATATTGAAATATTTGAGAAGAATTATTTTGATTCTTATAATGTTATTTTTATTGTAATTGTAAGAATCAATATGATTGATTTTGTAGGTTTTATTTAAATGTTTTTTTGTATTTATGATGCAGTATTCATTTTTTACAATATATTCATTGTGAAAAATGTGAATATAATAAAAATTAATATTATTGTATATTGAATATTGTTAAGTTTATAGAAATTATTTAAATGAGTTATATATTTAAGATAGTTAATTGAAAAATACTGATTTTTTTTTTATATTTCTTTATATATAATAATATAATTTTTCCAAAATTGATAAATATAGAATATTTTAAATAAAATTAAAGACAGATTTTTAATAGGTTCAGTAAAAATATTATTTTCTATTGTAATTTCTTTAGTTAGTATATAAACAATCTACAATATATATATTTTTTATATATATATATAAAAAGTTATATATTATATAAAAAATAAAAGAATATAATGCGTCGGAAATGTAATCGTCTTGTTATTAACATTACTTTCTATCGATTGAATCAACCATTCATATCATCACACAATTGCAATGTTAAAGCAATATAATCATAGCACTGCGTAATAATATGCGGAGATCGTTGCAATAATTATTTATATTGAGCATTTTTTTCTTAATATCCTTTTAACTACATTAAGTACTAAATACATTAATTCAATCTATATATTCGAAGCTTTTCTCGTTGTATATATATATATATCGTATAAACTCCTAGAGCAAGTGTAAAAATTTTTCTGATAGATCGTTTAGGAGTTGATTTTGAATAAAAAAAAAATTTTAAACTTAATACATAATAACATTTAAGAGATTAAAATAAAATGAAAGATGTAATTTAAAGGATTTTTAAAGTATTCAATTTAAATATGATAGCATATATAATATATATAAGTTTGAAATTTTTAAGTATACTTTATATATAAGTACTAAAAATAAGATCCATTTTACTTAAAATATTCATTGATATAATTTTTTAAAATTTATTAAATATTTTAGAATTTTTGAATGTTTTCTAAAATAATCCTTCAAAATTTTTTTAAAGAAAAATCCAATATTATGATTATATCTTATGATTAAATAATAAAAATTTAAAATATATATATAAATTCTAAGAATAAAATATATATGTCCAAATAATATCTTAGTCACAAAATATTTCTCCAAACAATCTCTCAAATTATTTTATATTCCATGTGTCATTTTCTAAATTCTAATTTCAAAGGAAGAAATAATCGCCATTATTATTCTCCTATAAATTAGAATAGTAAAAGACAATTACATCAAGAAAAATATTAAACAAATGAAAGACTTAGATTAAAAATGATTTGTAATGATGATGTACTACTTAAGCTAACACATCTTATAAGTATTTGTATATATATAACATTCGACGAAAATTCTTATTCAATATATTCCAAAAACGTAAAAAAATACGTTTGTACATGTATACTTTCATTATCATTAATCTTTCAAGCTCACTAAATGTTCATAATATATTTATAATCTTCTGTGCGTCAATATGTAAACTAATCACATACACTTTTGATTATAAACTATATAGTGTTTCAGAAGAAAACTAAAAATCTATTATTGTAATAACCAAATATTTTCATTACCAAACTTTTAGAATCAATAAATTTTATCAATCTAATTGTCAATTTTATCAATTTTAACGTTAAAATTAGACATTTTAAATTACTAAATTTTCAGAAGAAAAAATTTAATTAGAATGGAATAAAATTATTAATTTCGATTTTCAAATTTTCAGACAAAAATTGAAAAATTTTACCAATATGATTGATATTGTTTTTAAAATACCCTGTGTAAAAACAAGAACTTTGTACTTGTAAAATACACTCGATCAGATACATACATCCTCTTAAAATATTAAACATTAATCCGGTGTGTATTAATAAAATTTACATAACACTGACACCGGTTATGGTTAATTAAACATTTCTGTTACAGAAAGTATATAGACACCATACATTATTTATATATAAATTCGTTGTGAAGAATTAATTTTCTAGAAATAACGAAAAAGAAATACTGTAAATTGAATGCTAATATTTTTTCTCTAAATTTAATTGCAATATCATAATGTATATTTAGAAATAATATTTTTTGTAATTAGGAGATGAGAAAAAATTAAGGCCATCTAAACTATCCTATTTTTTAATAATAATTAATTTTTTAAAAAATGTTTCTCATCTTGAATTAAAATTAAATCGATTTTCTTTTCATAAAATATATTAAAAATATTTATGTCACATTATATAATTAAATTATATTATAGAATATGTTCCATATGATAAATCTGAAAAGAACTAAAATATAGAGTTTAACATAGAATTGTAAAGGAATTAGATATGGATAATATAAAAATGAAATAAAAATAAAATAAAAATAATAAAGAAAAATTTGTGAACTCAACTTTTTTATGTTTAAAGTTTACATTTTTTCTCATCTCTTATACTTATGTAATAGTCCATGAACTTAATAACAGATATAAAATTATTTACTACACTAGAGCACCACAGATTGATTTTCTTAAATAAATATATATCTTTCTTTATATCTTGTGACTCAAACTATAAATATTAATTTAAAAAATTAATTATAATCAATCATTTTCAAAAATTAAATGATTGCAAATGTTTAATTTTGTTCCAAGTGGTTTTTCTAGTGTTAAAAGATTTTCTAATTATCCCAAATATAATAAATTTTTTATCAATACATTTATCTATATGTTTCCAAACGAAATGCATCAACATGTTAAAAAAAGCAAATTCTTTTTATACAAAACTTGATTTTTTTCGTTTTTCGTCTTATCTTTTCCTTATTATTTTAATTTATACTTTCGTTAAGAATCCTCGATATCTGCTTTTGATTTTTTTCTTCCTCCTGGCGTGAACAATGCCAATAAACCACTTACTGAAATATGAAAAATAAATTTCATTTATGATTATTCCATATTCATAATTATTAAATTATAATAAATTTCTAAAAGTTAAGATAAATAATAACTATAAAATAATACTAATATTTCTTAAAATTAATAATTTTATATTATTTTATAATTTATTTTATTATTAATATTAATTATCATTAAAAATATTATAAAATTTAGTGACAGAAATAAATAAAAAAAGATACTAAGATTATTTAATAAGTATATATAAAAATATCAATATTTATAAAATCGTAAAAAATAAAACGAATTTTAATAGTCTACTAATAAGAGGTCTAACAAGTATTATCGCGATACTATCGCTATTTCAATATGATAAATCAAATTGTTTGATACGATACATCGAGATAAACCTGAAGCTAATTAAAAATATAGAATGTTGGAAAGTAAAGTACGTACGGAATAATTGAGCAGCCACAATAACGATCACTAATATGCAATAATCGTCGATCAAATATCCGATCATTAAGGTACCACTCATGGCACCTATTCGACTGATAAAGGCGGATAAACCAGATGCCATTGCTCTGAAACAGAATTATCGAATTCGAAAATTAAAAAAATTATTGATTTTTCATTTAATTTTATGGATTCTATATTGGAATTAATTTTTTAATGAACTATCGTTAACTATAATATACAAAATTTGAAATAATTTAATTATATGAAATTTTATGAATTAAATTTTTAATAATTATTACAAGTAAGAAAAGAAATTTCTTTTTAAAAACGCAATTTTTATTTCAATCATAGATTTTCTTATAATACACTAATGATAAGATTCTTCTGTTACAATAATAATCTGATTAACTTCAAAACTATAAATTAAATAGTAATTCCTAGCTATAGAGTAATTAAATTCCAATTTATCAAAAAATAATAATAGCGAATTTTAAAAATTACATTGATAATTTCTATTTCATCTCGACTCTCACGATATTTCGTAACAGGAACAATGAATAGTGCAATTCTCTTTTTACATAATTAATTTTAATCCAATTGAATTTACTTTAGTCTAACTGTTCGAATTTAATTTTTTGAAAAATATTTAAGAAAAATATACGTAGATAATAAAATTACATAGAATTATCTATTAAAGTCTTTGTACATTCTATAAAAATGTCATCTGTTCCAAATATCATAATTCTACATAACTCCATTGCAAACGTTTTATATTGAGAAGACTATGAGCTGATTTATACTACTACTTTATATTTAAAAAAATAATTATCATTATCATTGCACAATCTGATATATCTTTTAAATAACAATGGCATTCTGATGTGACAAAAACTCTTATGAGTGACTGTACACATAAATATAATTACAAATTTCTAAAATAAAAAATATATCAATAAATAATTAAATAATTAAATAAATTGAAATAGCAACTGATTATTTATATTTGGATATTTTGAAACAAATTAAAACAAAATTGGATCATAATTCTATTGTAATAATGATAATGATCAAAATATAAAAAGATAAATATTTTATCAGTAAGTATTGAAAACAAGAACACTCGAAAAAACATATCGAGAGATCGAGAGATGCTTCAAGCATTCATTCGTTGTAAAAGATTATGGATTATAAATAAACCGGTTAATGGAGGAAAAAATAAGTTATATTGTGTTGGAATATTTATAACGATCGATAAAGAAACGATAAGCTTTTGTTCATATCTGTAGAAGAGGAAAAACAAGAATGTTAACGATATTCTTTTAGGAAAGAGATACGAAGAGGAAAAGGAAAAAATTCAACGAATTTAATTTTATTTTGCGTTGCGAAATTTAAAATTTTATTTTAAATCGAAAAACGCGTAGAATGCGAAAACGTTGTTTAAAATAAATTTTGTAGATCATATATTTGAGCGAATAAAAATATATATCTTAAAAATATATACATCTTCAATTGTTGAAAAGATGCTATTTTTGTAAATTATATTAGCGTATTGTTTAATATGCTATTTATTTATCTGAGTTTATATTTACGATTACGATAATGTATGATTTTTTGACAACTTTTAAGAATTTTAAAAATTAATTAGAAAATTTACATTTGATTTGCAAATATTTAATTTAAAATTAAATGGAATTTTTTGGGAATTATAATCTTAATTTCTTAATAATTAGAAATTTCTTAGATAATAAAGAAATTCTTTTTTGTACATAAAAAAAAAAGATTATGGATTATATTTAAATATTGCATTACCTCAAATGAGTTGGATAAAGATCAACCAAAAGGCAATACACCACGCTGATGCAAACTGATGTGACAGATTCAAAAACACACGAGAGTATTAAGTTTTGAGTAGACGTCTCTACTAAGAAGAGACAAGCCGTAACAACAGCAGGAATAAAGGCTGTTATCACTGAAATATCAGACAAAAATATTTCTACATTTGATCAATCTATTAATTTCTTAAAAATTGCAATTATTAATTTTTCATAATATTTATTGTTAATAAAAAAATGGATTATTATAAGAAAAAAAATATATATTTTTACTTACCAAGAAAAATTTTATATCCTACATAGTTAATTAGTAATGGCAATATTAGAGCTGTTGGAATACACGAGGCACCTAAAATAAATGTGTGGACGAACACACTGGTTTGTACTTTAGAATTGCATCCAAACGACGTATCCTGCGAAAATGTATTTCTTCTATGAAAATAATAATTTAAATTAAATTTACTTCCTTTATTTTCTTCTTTTTTTTATAATTTGTATTAATGGTTTTATCTAATTTCTACAAAATGTTGATATATTCCTTTAGATATTATTTACCTAAGTAATTTAAATTTATGTTAGATGAAGCGAAATGGAAACAGAAAGAGACTGTCTCTATTATTGTCTATATTCTCGTCTCGCTTTGTTTAATGAGAACTTAAATTGCTTATAATTTAATATTTGTCTCAACGAATTTTTATATACCAATTTTTGCTTATTTTGACTTTTAGAATCTAAAAATTCTTTAAAATTTTCTCACAAATCTATCAACATTCTACACAAAATCAAATTTTTGTTTACATAAAAAAAACTTCTTATTTAAAGATTATACTTGCATTCAACTCACTATTGTCGTAACATTTTTTTCGATCTTCAAAGTGCAAACACTGGCCGTCTGATTGGGATACGCATCCTGGAAGTCCGCGTATCTATGAAAAAGTTCTGGCAGCCACAAAGTCAATGTGTAATAAGAGGACGTGACGAAACAAGCGATTAAACACAATACGATCGTTCTACAAAGGAACGGTGGTTTCAATATCATCATGGTTTTCGAATATATCTCTTTTATCATTAATCGGAATGATTTCTCGGTCACTTCCTCTTTCTCTTCTGTATGCATTATACGATGCACCAGATCGGTTAAATTATTATTTTCAGAATTTCGAAGTTTCGTCTGAAAACAAATCCGAAATTTTATATTGTTTTAAAATTTTGATGGAAATTTGTATATTTTTAGTCAGAAACATTTTTTGTGAAAAATATTTAGTCTTTTTTTAGTTACGTATAAAAAAATATTGTTTGATTTTTTTTTTAATTTTTAAAAATCAAATTAATTTTTTTTTAATTAATAAATATAATTTCTATTAAAAAATTTATTCTTTTTGACAATTTTTAATAAAAAAATAAGGCATTTATATAATTTATATAAAATTCTAAGTTTAAAAGAAATTTCTTTTAAAATAGAATTTTCTCATTATTTAAACTTTTTATAGGATTCTAATGTTTTTTATTAATCTATTAAATAATAGTTATCAAAAGGTGAATATCACTCACTATGTATTCTTTTGGAGGTTTTCCAGTATTTTCCGAATACATTCTCATTAAAACGTCCAACATCTGAACGTTGTATCCAGTTTCTGCGAGGTATTTGGGTGTTTCAGGGAAAAATAACAGCCAAATTCCAGTCGACAAGGCTGGAAGAGAACATATGAAAACGAAAAAATTCCACGAATGAAAAGAGAAACCAGCTGTCACCATGTTCACATTTAATGGAATAATAATCCATCCGACACCTGAAATTTTGAATTCATAAACAATTTAGTCTGGATTTCATCCATTGAAAAAATAAAAATAAATAAAAAAAAAATATAAAAAAAATTTTAAAATATATCTATTTGACATTTTTTTAAAGATTTTATTATTCAAATTAGAAAAATAAGAAATATAAAATTTACATTTTTATCAAGATATTTAATTTTTATGAATATTTGTAAAAAATTGTGCTTATTTACTATTTCATTAACATTTTGAAAATTTTAATCGAATAAAAAAAATTAATATTTACCTGCTAAGATTATCATTCCTAACACCCAAGCCATTTCCATCCACGAGAGCATTCTATTTCGATGTTTGGTTGGTTGGAATTCACTCAAATAAAGAAACACAACGGCTGACTGCCCATTCATACTTGAAACATAATTAAACATTAAAGATGTACAAATAATAATATTCAATTCTTCATGATTTCGTCTTCATCTAGAAAAAAGAAAACTATAAATGAGTATAAATAATATAAATAATAATAATAATTTTTATTTAATAACAGTTGATGTTTGTTAAATCTATATAAAGCATGAATTAAATTAACTTTAAAAAAAATAAAATATTTAAATAAATATTTATATAAATTTATATATTAATAAATATAAATTTATATATTCATTAAATTTAAGAAATTGATACTAACGCTGCACCGCTGAGAAATTTCAAAAATAAGAAGACCCAATATAATGGTACTACCGATGCCAATAATTCGGAAATACCATGTAGAAATAGTGCGACTAATAGGGATAACCTTCGCCCCTTGATAGCCGCGTAACAACCCCATATGTACGAACCAGCTAACATACCTGCAAATTACAAAAACTTTTAAAATTAAATTGCAAATATTTATGTAAAATTATTAAAAATTATTCTCAAGAATTATTTCTTGTTAATAAATACTGCATTGAAAATAAACTATTGAGACTAATATAGGGACTAATTGCTATTCAATCTGAAATAGTATTCATTAACAAGAAATAATTTTCAAAAGTAATTCTTAAAAGTTTAATTTTCAAATGTATTTGGATTTTAATGTAAAAATAATAATGTTAATATACATATAATTAATATTATATAATTCTTATTCTTATATATAATTGATATTTTAATTTAATTTTATTGCATAAATAAAATTTTATTAGATATAATGATATTTGGAGATAAAAGAATTCGAAGAAAATATTAGCATTTAGCATCATGCAATCGTTCTTTAATTATTTGTATTCAACAAGTGTCATTTATTCGATTGCAGCAATTCGTTGATGCTTCTCTTCGTTACAACTTTCATGAATACATTTAATTAATTTTATATACTTGCCAGAGACATGTTTAGCTATCTTAATCAACTTCTTTCTTTATTTTCTTTCTTTGATAGCAAATGAAGAAATTTATAAATCATCGTATAATATATTATATATAATTAATTTGTTCATTCGATATATATATTTTAATGAGAAATAAAAAAATAATAAGAAATAAAAAATAGAAAAAATAAAAAAAATAAATGTTGATTTTAAAATCAATATTTTGAAAAATTACAAAATATGGTCATTTTAATGATACGTCCCTGCTTTTAGGCGCATTAAAATTAATTTAATTTATGTCACATTCCATTTACAGGACATCGTTGTCTTGATATTTTTGCACAAGAGTTTTTTTCTCGAACAACTACTGTGATGAATCAACTTTTAACTTGTTTCACAGCCTTTCTTCTTTGTGTAAATTTGCAAGCAAATTAATGCTACTGCCAAGTATTGCAAGCATTAACTGATTACTTAAGAAAAAGAAAATTGCTTAAGGAAGAACTTAAGCAAATAGATAGAATATTAGAAACAAATAGATATATTTGTTAGAAACTTGAAAAATACTATTTTAACATTTTAAATTATTAATAATTTGCTTTTAAAAAATTATTAATAATATCTGCTTTTAAAAATAATTTGAGAACGAATAATAAGAAACATGAATAAAAAAAAATGTAATTTTTTTCAAAATATTATAGTATTAATATTCACATTAATATGACTTAATAACTAAATGATTAAAGTACTTTGTTTTAAAAAATAACTAGGTTAAAAAATGAATTACGATAAAGATGAATGGATTAAAAAAATGTCAATTCGATAAAAGTTAAAAAAAAAAAACGATATTGATATTGATATTAATATTATATGATAAAATTATATATTAATTAATTTTTTTTCTTATATTCACCGATATTTTTCTTTATATATTCTTTATATTCTTTATGACGAAGATTTACGAATTGATTTCGAAATTTACAAAAGTGAACAACTAAAACAGAAAATGTTTGCGCGAGTAGAAAATAACTTGCAATTTTATGAGGGTCTTTATATTAAGTTGAAAGGAATGTGACTTGATATCCTGGCCAAGCAACGTGTTGACGAAATACCATAAAGTTAGCATAATGATACGCAGAAATTAGATCGATCCGAGGGCGTGTACGAGAATTGCAGAAAGGCACGAGAGAAATTATAATTCTAAAATGATAAGATGAACGCAATATACAAAAGTTTTTTATATGTTTAATAGAAAAGTTAAAATATTTAAAAAATCTTATATAAAGTGAAAATATTATACTTTGAAATTTTTTTTAAAAATAGTACCTCCCTTCAAAATTCTTTTTTTTTTTTAAACAACAGAATATTAAATAAAATATCAGAAAATTATGATTATAAAATAAATATAAAATGGCAATTAAAAAAATTTCAAAAGATATTTTCTCAAATAAGAGAAAGTATCAATAATGATTGAAAATAGTTATTTTTTGATGAAAATGAAATCAGTTAATCAGTTCGTATGCCGGAAGAAATATTGATTACAGTGTTGATTATTCGAGTGTTACCTAACATGGGGGCGGCACTCAAGCGTCCCTTGTCCATTGTGGTCATTCTGAAGTCGCATGCCGCTGATGGTAATATGAAACCGATGCTTGTTATACTGAAAGCCACGTTCATAAAGATCATACTGCAGACGGCCATAACCTTAAGGTTAAACTTGCCAAATCCTGTGGATAGATGCCAAGAATCGATGGTTGATATGGATTGTTATTTTTATATAGATGATTTTTTGTGCAAATGAAAAGTGAAAAACTCAAATTGAAGAAGATGAAACTAATACAAAGCGCATTTGTTCAATCTATTGCTATTCTTCTTCAATTTAAATCAGATTTCTCATTTTTTAAGATTTCATTAAAAATTCGTGTTAAAGTAGCTTTTCAAAATAATTTAAAACAACAATTTAATTAGATAAAAATATATATTAATAATTAATTCAATATATTTTAATACACATCTTATTCTTATTCCTCAAAATTGAAAATCTATTTTTATGAAAACTAAGAAATTATATTGAAGAAAAAAATAAAATCATATTATTTCAATATTCTGCAAATATTTTTATCAATATTGAAAATACAATGTTAAAAAATAATATATTTCAATGTAAAGTTAATAGAAACATCTCTAATTAATTTCTTTTCGCTAATCTCTTTCTTTCAACATCACAAAAGAAAAAACTACCTGTTTGGTCAACGGCATCTTGAACCACGCTTTCCGCCGTTTGCTTGGTGCCTGCAAATATAAGAAAATAACATGATTACTCATAAAAAGAAAAACAGAGAAGCAGAAAGAAAAAAGAAAGAGGCAAAGAGAAACGGTACAGGCTGATGTGAAAGTTAGATTCCGCTACAGTGCTCGTCAAGTCCAAGAATAAAAATATTCTTCGAACAAGAAGCAACGTCCCGACCAATCTGTCAAAAACAAAAACAAATGAACCTTATATCTGTCTGAAAGCTCTTTTCTTTTGTACAAATCGTTCAACTCATGTCAGTATGAAATACTTTAACTTGTTATTTACATCAGTTTGCACTGACTCGAAGCATTTCTTTGTCTTGAACATATATCTTTTTTATTACCTTTGAATCATCATCTGACACTTATGATTGTTTTCTTTTGTTCGAATTTAAATTTGATTAAGTTTAAATTAAATAGATACGAGTTAAAATTAAATTAGAATTATTTGATTTATATTTATTAAATTGAATTTAACTATTGAATTATCTATTGTTTTCTTTTTTTGATCCTTATCAATGTTAAATTTTAAATAAAGCTTTTAAAAATTTTGATTTATAAAAATTTTATAAAAATTTTAATTATAACATATTAAGATATATTAAGATGTTTTTAAATTTAATTGTATGATAATTATTTAAATATGACGTAAAGAGTGATTTTGGACTAAATTTAACCGAGATAACTGATATCACAATATTCATCATTTTATTTCGATTCTACATATAATTTTGGATTAAATATAAATTAAGCTTGAATTAAATTCGAATTCTTCACTATTTTGTAATCTTTGAGATTAATTCAATTTTGGATTATATTTAGATTAAATTTGGATTAAATATGAGCCAACGAGTTTCAATGATAATTATCAAATATTTTATTTAATATTTCGACATATTAACAACACGTGATCTGCATGAATGATCAAACTTCTATTTTTTAGGAATTACAATTCGTAAATAATATTCATTTTATATATTCATATTCATATTTATATTCATATTCATATTCATTCATAATAAATATTGATAAATATTTTAGAATGTACTATATAGATGCTTTAGTTTTTTTGGATGGAATTAATTAATCACTTGAAAAATAACAGATAAAGAAAAAAATAATTCTCTAAAAATAAATAAAAGTTGAAAAATATTTTACTCACCTTTTTGAGAAGTTTATATTAGATATTTATATCACATTCAATGAAAAAAAAAATATTCTTAGAAATATATCTTTAATTAAATACAATTTTATCTGTAGTTAATGAAATATTATTATCTTTAAATTAGCAAGCCAAAATGTCATAACATGACATTTTTCACAGTCCCTTAAAATTTAATGAAGGTAAATAAGAAAGAATAATAGAAAAGCCTATTAGCAAAAAATAATACTATTGACTGTCGAAAACTCACAACAGAATTCTTAATTGCCGCTTAACTGTTTGAACATGTGTGTCAGAACTCCTGCTAGCTTTTGCTTATTCAAGTTGTACACATCCCTCATTTTTTGATTTTCTCGTTTAAATTTCGAGATGCGTAGATATCATTTCAAGATATTGTCATTATGCAAAATCCGTGACAAAAACATAAATATCCATTTAGCCTATCTTTATTCATTTATAAAAAATATAAAAACTTAAACATCTATTTTTCACCACTTACAAGCAAAATGCTAATAATTTATAATTTGAATATACACTCTTTATATACATACGAACGTAGCTAAATATCAGTTTATCATAGATTTCACATGTGCAATTAATAATAATAAGAAAAATAATTAATAAATAAAGAGAGATAGAAGAAAAACAAATTAAATATAGAAAAATTGTCGACACACGGAATAGAAGAAGGATTACCTTGTAACGTAGAGACAACATCCGAGACTAGCGGCTTCGAGGCAGCCGGATCGCTCTCGAATCGAGCGATATCACCCGACATTGTAGGCGCGCGCAACTAAAGCATCGCAGTGCCGTCTGATCTTGTTGGTGTATAATAGAGCGGCTTTGCTTTACTGACACAACGGCTAGTCGCGCTGAGATCGTCTCATTCGCTACGAGATCGGCCGAATGACTGCGACCGATTGAGTCCGACTGTGACCGACTGTGACCGATCACGGTTGCCCCCCTGAACCGTTACCAACAATATTCCCCCTGGTTTTATAGGCTTAAGGTATAGGCATAGATTCTTGGTTATCTGTGGCCTTAAGCTTCGCGTGCTTCTTATCTATTGTTAGCAAATATAATAGATGAAATATATATTTTTTTTATACTTGAACTTTTTTGGAATGAAATTTTATTTAGAGAACTTTGTATGTGTGCAATATTTTATTAATTCTAAGATAACGATATCGAACTAAGATAAGATGAATCGATCATATATTTCGATTTTTTCTACTAACATGTATGTAAATATTAATTTATTAAATTATATGGGAAAATTTATTATTTGAAAAATAATTATATTATGTAGGGAAAAAAGTATATTAGCAGAGAGTAAAATAGACCATTTATACAGAAAAAAAATCTTTGATATAATGTAGTGAATAAAATAATGTATTTATTTGATTTTGTTAATTTATCAATTGATTTCTTTGAGAAAAAATAAGGTCTGAATACGATGACCCTATATTTGAATTTGAATAAAATTCTTTGAGATTTGAAAATATCTTGAGATTTGAATTTGTAATATAGACATTGTGATTTTATATTGAATTAATTTATCTCTCGAACATCAATCTTCAAGTAATGATATTATTTGCACTTCTCTTTCATTCATCTCGTCACATATATACGTATATATATATCGCAAAAGTTTTATTATGGTTTATATAAATAACATTTATACATCCAAATATTTCATAAAACGTTTTTTCTATTTGCAAATTTTTAAATCTTAAAAGATATTTATATTTTAATATTAAGTTTTTATTATTATATTTTAATATTAAATAATCATCTTCAGTTCTTTTAATTAATAGAATAAAATTGAATAAAATAAAAATAAAATAAATAATATAAAATATAATATAAAGTAATTAAATAAATAAAATTTCCATCTTATTCTTGATATTATATACATTTTATACATATATACATTTTGATTTATAAATATTCATTTGATAATTTAAATGTAAAAATTAATTTTTTTAGAATAATTAATAAGAAAAAATAATTAAAAATAATGTATTAATTCTTATTATTTTCTAATTTGAAATTCATTAAAAAAATTTATAATGAATTAGAAATAATTCTTTTTCTTTTTTTTCTTTTTTTAAAATTGGTTAAAGTTTACAGTTTTTCATTCACTTAAACGGATATTGATCAATCAAGAATTATGAGAAAGTTTTCAAGATGACTCGATTGAATGTCGATAGATGAGATCTTTTTAAATATATCTTTTTTTAAATATGAAGAATTCTGACAAATATATTCATTGTCAATTAGAAAATGATTTAGATAAATATTAATTCTATCTTAAAAACAGTTAACATAATTTTTGAAACAAATTTTAAATGATGAAACAAAATAAATATTTCATTATATTTTAATATTGTATTAATGAATAAAAATATTAATTTTAATATTTATAAAATCCGATATAAACCTTTAATATTCAATAAATATTCCAAGATATTTAAAATATTTAAAATATAAAAATAATGTTTAAAATAAAAAAAAATAATACTTTAAATTTTATAAACCTGAAAAAAAAATTTTTTTTGTTCTTTTTAATTTATTTAAAATTAGATAAGCTATTCATAATTAACTGCATAGATAATGAAAATTTAGTTTAAGAGCATTGGACACAATAATTAAGATAAACTAATCTATTTGATTAAAGAATTTGCTTGGAAAAGTTGTTGAAAACAGTAATGAATATGTATCCATTTCAATTTCAATATACGCCAACTTTTTTTAATCTTTTCAATTCTTAAATTAAAATGAAAATTTTTCTTTATTAACAAAGAAAAAAAATGATGACTTCGATTTAAAAGATTGGAATAAATTTCTGTTAGAATATTAATATTAAAATATGAATTATTATGCGATCGATTTATTCGAAATAAAGAATAGTAAAATCTTGATTATTCTAATTTTAATTATTTTGATTATTTGATTCAAATTATCTGCTTGAAATTAGCATATTTGTATTCTAGTATAGTATCTAAAAACAATTAATTGTTTTTTATAAAATAATTTCTTTTATGAAGTAAACATTTTTTTAATAAATATTTATATTTGAAAATTGTTTAATTCCAAATTCTCAAAAATTTCTCGTGATATATTTACAAAGTTAGTTTTTTCTTATTAATTATCCGAAAAAGTTATAAAAAATAATTAGTTGTAATTAATTTGTTTAAATAATTGATTTTCTATTGAATTTATATTTTCCATTGTAAAGAAAATGTATTCAACACGTTCTTATGCGTGTTATTGATATCCGTTTATAACTATCAAACAAAAAGAAGAATAAGGAATAGAAAACCTGTTCGACACCAGTTCATTCATGAAAAAAAAAAAAAACAATATAACGGAATGCATAATGGAACCCTGTGTATGCATTAGATTGTAAATTTTCCTATTTTATGACATTGGGAAATTCTAAGATAGAACATACTCGACACAATCACATTTCTTTGTCTTTTATTTCTTTTACATTAATTAACTTTGTATCATTTGTATCATTTTTTTCAATCAAAAATATTATAAACGTATAAACATATAAAAAGATATATATTTTAACATAGCTTCTTTTCAAAAAATATCATTTTACTATTTCGATTTAAAAGAATTACATTTTATATAACTCAATAAAATAATAATTAATTTTTCAAAAATATAATCATTATTGAAAAAAATTTTTCTATTAGGATATAGTATAAGGAAAAAAATTTATATATAATTATATTATATGTAAAAAAATTCAAAGTTCATCTAATCTAACATAACCAATTTATCTAACCTAAAATAAAAATTATCTTTTACCAAAGTGTTTTTTAAAAAGAAGAAAAAAACTATTTATAATCGCAAATAATGAATTTTACTTATCACAATTAATCATCGATGGAATAACAAATGAAAGGAAATAAAATTATGTTTATAATCTAATAAACAAATGATAACTTTACCTGTTAAGAATTTTATTTTAAATGCGTTACGAAAGGCATTCGTTTAATATAATATAAATTACACTAATTAAGAAAAATCCACTTCAAATTTGTTACTATAATCTTATCGATTTCAATAATAATAATTAGATTGGTAAATATAGATAAATACAAATCAATTTCGAATTCGAGTTTTTCGAAATAAATTATAATTTACTCAGTGATAATTTAACTATACATTATAATTATATATTTCTTATTATTTTTTGAAATTGATAATTCAGAGCTTTTCTAATTTTATTTTGGTAACTTTTTTAATATATGGATTTTGTATAATATATGTATAATATAATTTTTATAATTATATAATTAAGTTTGACGTAACATTTCTCAAATAACTAGGGACATTTTATTAGGTACTTTCTTATATAACTTACACACTTGAATACTGTGGCTTTTGTGAAATTTTTGAATGTTAAATGTTTCAAGTGTTCAAATATTCAAATGCAAATCTATTCAAATATAAAACATTTCAAGATATTTATATTAAAATATTTGAAACATATTGAAAACATATTTGAGTACAAAGCATTTAAATTCAAAGTATTCGAGTGTAAAATAATCTGATAAGTGATAATAAGTATTTAAATAGGTTATGTTTGAAGGATTTTCGAAGTCAAGATATTGACATATCAAGTAAACGAATGTTGAAATATTTAATGTTAAAGTACTTGAATTTTTATACTTTTGAGTACATTTGAGTGTCAAAATATACTAATAATAAATATTTCAATATTTAAGTATCTGTGAAATAAAGAAATATTTGTAAAATATTTAAATATCGAGATATTCGAATATCATCATATTCAAATTTTGGAAATATCAAAATAATCAAATGTTAAGATAAAATCTTTCATTAATACTCAAGAAGTGTATTTTAATTAGATTAGATTAAAAACTTCAATTTAATTTAAGCGTCTTAAAGATATTGTTATTTATTGCTAGAATTGTGTTTGTATGACTACATACTGCCATTTATATGAAGAAATACATTGTGCTCGATTATCTGAACTTCAGCTGAGTTCTATTATCTGAATTATCTCTGAGAGTTATGTTCTACTGTATTTGATTCAAATTAAATGTGTCTTATAAAGAGTTATTTTTATTTGAATTATAATTATTTGTAATGCAAGACATTGAACAAATATTTTTAATTCTTTCGAAACTAATAAGATATTACATCTCAAAATAATTTTATATGGATTTTAACATCGTTATAATTTTTTTTTTATACTATTTTCTGACAAAGAATTATTAAAATTGAAACTATTCATTTTATTTTTTAAATTTAACTTATTTTTAATCAAATTATTATATTTCGTGTTATCGCAATATTATCTTCACTCAAAAAAAAAAAAATTAATCTCAAAAAGATTAAAATGTTCATAAAATATTGTTAAACATAATCTAAAACGTCTAAAAATTCGATAGTCTACAACTTTCATCAAACAACCAAAACGAAGTAGTGACAATGTTTGTGTCGTGACTATTTCAGCACGTGTGTCAGCATGTTAAATCGAAACGGTGTCAAGAACACGACAATGCCACATCTTTAATGAATATTTTCTTGTATACTTATATCGAGCAACAAAGAAATTAATTGAATTGTTTAAAATTTAATATTTCAATATTTTATATTGAATATTTTATATTCAATAATTTATATCTTATACTTTTTTTGTCATTTAATCTAATGTTTGTTTTCAAATTATTTAAACTCTTTAATCTTTTTCTTGGAAATTTTTCAAATTGATATAAAAATATTAATTCATGGCAATCTATCTTGAGATTATCAGAAATTGATTTCTTTTTTTTTTTTTTTTTTATTTATAATCTCTGGATTAGTTTGGAATTAATTCAAATAAATAATGATAAGTTTGATATTTCTGAAATAAATAAAAAATAGAATCAATTTTATAATTTGATGATGCGAGAGTGAGATAATAAAGAATTATAAACATAATATGATATATTTCATGTATATTTTCAATTATTATTTTTGTGTTACAAATGATAATTTCAATTAAATCCAAAGTGATTCTTTGTCGTATTCTATATCTTATATCATATAAAAATAATATACTATCGTCTTTATTACATAAAATATAGAATACAAGTTCAAAATAAATATTATAAAATTACATAATGCGATAAAAGTTGTTATAATGTTATAATGATTCTTGAACCAATAGTAATAATTAAAAATTGATAAACAAAATGTTTAAAAAATCAAAAGCGATTATAATTTATGCTTTGAACTTCAACTTTTATCCTACATCATATTATATCTTACCTATAGCAATATTTCATCTTTTATAGTTATTGACAAGTATTTTTTGTTTCTATACTAAATTTATATCTATAATATATAATATAATATATAATATATATATATTTTTTTCTTTTTTTAACGAATATAAGAAAAAAATAAAATTCAAATTTTTTTTCTTTTTTTCTTGATTTAATGTTAGATGAATGTCGTTTAGTGCAAAAATAGTAAACGGAATTGATAAATCGTATCGGTTCGAGTCTGTTAATTCTAGTTTATTTGCGAATTGTTATTGGCGTGCTGCATTATTATATTACTCGATAACGCATTTATTTGACGATAAAAATGCTGCTTGCTAATAATTTATGCATGTAGCGTTATTAGGTAAAGTCTCTGATTAGGCTGATTCATTTATAGCATAACTGTTATTGTAGAATGAAATTTTTATTAAATAAATTTTTTAAATTCTTAGAAAAACTTCATATTTGTAGAGATGCTTTATTAGATATAAAGTTTTATTCATAATTTTAAATGCCATTTAATTTTTATTTTAATTTTTAATTAAAGCAATTAAAAAAAAAACAATAAAAAATAATTTTTTTATAACATTAATTTTTTCTCAAAAATTAAAGTAAATTGTAATTATCTGTGTATTTATATATAAAATATTTAAATTTTTGTTTAGTAAGAAAGAAATGTTTTTTTTTTAATAAATTAAAAATATATTTTTTATATAATTATATATTTATATTGTTTTTATTTAACTCATATTGTTGTTAAATTGTTAATAAATAAAATTTAATTTTTATAGAGAATTGTTTTTTATTTTTTCTTTTATAATATTGTCTTTGATGAATTGGAATGGAATTCTCCAATAAAGATTTATTACATTTGAAGCAAATCTTTATATCAATGTTATTTGAATTCAATTTAATGATAGATAATTTTTTTTACTTAAATTTTTTCTCCTTTGACATATTATATTTATATATTATTAATTTATCTTTATCTTATTTGTTTCTTTTACCTCAGTCGCATATGCATATAAACAACATATTATCATTGTTATTTGCATTTAGTGCATCTTTCTGTATATGATACATATTTTATTTATTAAAATATATAAATATGTTTCCGCAAGAATTGTCAAAAATATTTATTCTAATCCTTTTTTAGACTAATTTTAGAATTTTTTTATGTATAATGTAATTGTTTTTATGATTTTTTTATTTTATTATTGTTTTTTAAATTTTTCATTTTTTAAAACTTTTATTATTATTATTATTATTATTATTATTATTATTAAATTATAACTTTTTTATTTTTACTTGTATTCATACACGTGCCGTTTACATTTTAAAATATATTTTAATATATTCTTCAAAAAAAATGATGAACATTTGAAACAATTTATTACAAAGATAAATTAACAACAATAATAGTAAAAGACAATTTAGATAATTTTAGTTCAGCATTTTTGACTTTATATTTTATAAGAAGATCAAAATAAAAAATTCTTGTTTTATTATTAATAGATAACTATTTTTTTATTCTCTGTCTAATTTATAATAATATTTATCAATATTTCTTTATTTTTATTATTATCTCAATTCTTTTTGTTTTTCTTTGTTCTTTAAATAAATAAATAATATAAAAAGTAATAAAATTTTTTGAATTAAAAATTATAGATTTAGATGCGACAAATGACATGATGATCTAAAATATTTAAATATTTATTTTATAATATTTATCTTATAGCAATTTGATTTTAATATCAGGTATTAATTGATTTATAAATAATAAATCTGAAAATTAAAAGATTGCATAGAATGAATTACTTTTATAAAACATAATTTATTTTACGTTTATATATTTTCATTCATTACTATATTTTTTCATATTATATAATCATAATAATTTTTTTAAGGAATAAATTAATCATCAAATTTAAAGAAGATATGTATTTTATATAAAATTTAAATAAAAAATTTGATATAATAATACAATTATTTTTTTAATTAATATAATCAGAAAGTCGTTTAAATTCTTTTGCTTATATTAGAAAAAAATCTACATTAATTTTTTTTTTTTATATTTGTTGATGACAAAAAATTGCAACTGTTGTGTAAAAAATTTTTGCAATATAATATCAATATCAATTTTCTTAATATCAGAAAATGCAAAAGAAAATCTTCAAAATTAATAATTCAATAATTAAAACAAAAATTTACAATTTTATTTATCATTATTATTAATCATCAATAATAATAATAATAATAATAATAATTATCAAATCATTATCATTTTATCATTATTTAATATAATATAATATAATAATAATAATAATAATAATAATTCACTTACTTGATTTAATTTCATCCTCCATACCAATCATAACAAAGTTTCTCAAATATCTCCAAATATCCTTACAGCAAAATTAAAATTCGAATAAAAATATCTTCTCCTTCTTTTTTTTTTTTTTTTCTTCCTCTTCTTTAACCCTCCGTGAACTATGCGAAGTTAGATCAACACCGGCGGTTTTAAAACTATTATATTTCTTCAACACATTAAATCGTCTAGTTTTTTGAATAAGTTCGGCGAAACTTTACTGTTTCATACGTGATAACAAATTAAAGCTAACCTGCCTCCTCACCAATGATTAATGATTTTTTTGTTTCCTTTACCGACTTTACAAAAGACTTTTACTATTATATCGAATATCTAATCTGCATACGACACCAACTTGCAATTATCCCACTTATCGGTTGTTTATAATACATATAACGAGTGAGCTAGTAGCATTAGTTTAAGATATTAAGATATTTAAGATTCGGAAGATTCAAAAGAAAATACATTATTTGAAATTCATATTATAATATTATGATCAATATTATAATGACAGTGGCATTATTTTATTCGAATTTAGAAAAATTTGAAATTTTTTAAGTTCATCCGTTATATTGTTTGCCCGATAAATGGTATATCGCCACTTTACAAATGTTAATTCTATAGTATTAAAAGTTTTTTTTAAAATAATATCAAAAACTAAAATCGATTGTCGACTATGCGTAAAGGAAAAAATTGTTGAAAATAATTTTTTTTTGCAAAACGTTATATTTCAATATCGTTAAAGTTGTTGGGAGTTAATCGGCAAGTTGTATAACCAATATTATATATGATATTAGATTATTGCAAATGAAATGAAAATAATATTGATCAAAATTTGATTAATATCGATGTAATTTTAATTAATTCAATTACATCTACATAGGAAAACAAGATTAAAATTACAATAATTAATTGATTTATAATTATAATTAATCATTAATTATAATTCCTTCTTTTATAATTGTAAATGTTTCGTCAATTAAAAATTGTTCCTTTCTTTAATGCAATTCTTCTCGAAAATTTTATTAATATTAACAGTTTTTTCATAATTTTTTATATTGAATTTTAAATTTCGAATTTGATATTGTAATTCATCGCAATTTGTTTCTTTATAATAGAACAATCTATTTTATATTCGAATTGTATTCACCCAATATCAAGTTTTAAATTGATATATAATAAATATTATAATTTAATCACTTATCTTCAAATGATTTTCAAGATTTATAAATTCATATGCAACAATCTAAATAAATAAGAATCGAAAGTTAAATGTAAACGTGTGTTTAAAATGTAGTGTTTTTTTTACCCCACGTGGTTGCGAAAACAAAGTGGTATATCATCTCTCCGCCATATTTTTTTATCAAAAGGAAAACACGAAGAAAAATAGATCAGAACACACGATGAATCAATCTTGGAATCACAACGTAGACTGAGCTTTGGAAGAAATATCGAGAGAGAGAGATATTCGATTGGCAGTGACCACGTGTGCCATAAATATAATTGTGAAAATGCTTGTTATGAAACTTTTCGCGTATACTAATGAGAAGAATATTGTTCCTTCCTTCCTTTTTCCATGAATCGATCGTTTCTCTTGCAATCCGTGTTTACCTACGAAACTGACCTGTTGTAGTGGAAATTGAAGCTAACTAAATAATAAAATCGAAATAGAAGTTCCAAGAAATAAAACTCTCGTTTTAAGAATCTTTATATCCAGTTTAGTCCGTAACTAATTAATAATCTTCCCGTTCGTGTCTTCTTTTTCAAACGGTTGTTACGCGATATAATTCCGGCAATTGTGTCAATTATCACAGGGTTAAATGGACAAACGAGTGTGTTGAAAACGAAGAAGGGAACACCGGTAACTATTATCGCTGACAACAGTTTAATTTTTCTTCTTAAGGAGATCATCCTATGTTTCTAATTAATCTAATTAATCATGAGAGTTAGCGAAGAATATTAAGCACATCGTTCCACGTTATTTGCTTCCGTCGCAATGAATAAAAACAATTTTTCTTTTGTTACTTGTTACTTCAAAATATAAAATTCATAAGCTCGAAAGTTCGAAAGTTTGAAGATTCAAGTGATTGAAATCTTTGAAGAAAATTGAATCTAAAAGTTTTGAAAATTACGCGAATTTTTTTTTGTAAATTAAAAAAAGTAAATTTTTAAAAGTTTGAGAATTTGGAAAAAAAGTTTGTCTCAAAATAATTTACGACGAAACACTGATAAATGAATAAATTATTCTCTACTCTATCCCTTGCCATTTTTTCTAAACAAATTTAATAAATTTAAACAAGTCCATCGATAGTTTTTCAATCCTGGTTGAAAGTTCATCGAACGATCTTCTTCCATTTCAACCTTTTTTTTTTCTCGAAATTTCCTGTTAATCTTGTCCCATCCTCTTCATCGACTCTTGGTACAATTCTCATCGAATCTTTGTTTCTGCACCGATCGCCTCAACGATTGTCTACTAAAATCGTGTACACGATTAATAGATTTTAATTCGACGTATTTTTAGATCAAATGACATCATGTTCGATATTAGAATCATAAATGGATATTATTGAATTCGTTGTACCAATAAATTGTGTAAATAAAAGAGCTTATTGGAAAATGGTTATTGAGAATATTTTCCTTCTAAGAATCAATCTCGTGCAGCAAATTTAATATGTATTTTGTACCTTTTGAATCAATTAAATGATATGCTATTGTAAAATTTTAAAAATCGAGAGAAATTTTGAGTTATCCTAGGAGGGAAGATGTTCGAAGATATGTATAAACGTCAAAACTTTGCTTCTTAGAAAGATATATTTATTTGTTATTTAAAGGAATCTTAATCAATAAAGTCATTAAAAAAAAAAAAAAATAAGAGAAGAGATTTTCTGATTTCAAATTGGATTTTTGATGATGTTGATCATATTTTTGTTTTTTACTATTAATTTCTTATGTTTTTTGGAAAAATACTTTTTGATTCTAGTTATAATTGTTATAAATAGTTTGTCCTTTAAATAAAATAAAATAATTTAAAAACTTGAGAATTTGAAAATTCAAAATCTGGAAACTTGAAAGATTGGAAATTAAAAAAACGTGAAAAGAAATCCAAAATTTTTTAGAAATTTTAAAAAATTTAAAACTTATTGAATTGAAAATTTAAAAATTATATGAGATATCTTATTGTGTGGAACTATTGAAAAGAAAAATTTAAAATTATATTTGGGAAATAAAACAGGAAATGAACACTTTTTAATTTGAAAAAATCAAAGAATACAAAAATTGTAGATATTTATTAATAAAAATTTGATTTTAAAAATTTAAATGAATACTCAAAACACGATAAAAATCACTTTGAATTCGAAAACAACATCGTAAATCGAATCCTTAATGTTACGAAACAATCATCCCTTGATCCTACGATAAAAGGTCTGGCAAATTTGTCAATAATGTTTTTATTATGGAATAAATTGGAACGTTGAACGTATATTAGACAGATAGTAAGATAAATAGCCAGAATAAGTGTTAGAGAAAGGATACGTAGAATCCAATAAGAATCAACGACGAACTATCACCTATCATGAAATTGATGGGTGTTTCATTTTATAAAAATAGTTTACGAAAAAGTTTTTTTTTTTAGAAAATTTTAATTTTGCAAGATCATAATTTCTCTCTCTTTTTTTTAATATTTTATTTTATTTTGTAAACACAAGGATAGAAAGATATCCTGCTTTTCATTGTTATCATGGTCTTGCATGAAGGAGCTGGAAGTTTGATAAGATTCAATAAAGTAATCGGATTGGAAATAATGCTTTGCCTTTATTAAATGTTCTATTGGAAGATTTTTTTTAAAATTAATAAAAATGGAAGAATAAAAGAGTAATTAAACAATAAAAAATATAATTAAACAGACGATAAACATGATTGAAAAAAAAGAAAGAAGAAGTAAAAAAATTAATATAGAAATCTATAAATGGATTACCAATTATTTTGGAAATAAATTTTATAATAAATTTTCTACAATCAGAAATTTAATCATTTCTTTTATTCAATTTATATTTATATTTATATAATATCGTGAATGTTTTGACGATGTGAGAAAAAATTTAATCTATCACGATGAAATAATCTGATTTTAAAAAAATGTTAATTTTGCGTTGTTCAATTGCAGAACTTAAAGTCTGATTACACAACGCAGATTGCTTCTGGCGATCGACGCACGTCGATAAGAATTAAGACGACATTTGCGTGTGCCTTCAATAGGATAGAACGTTGAATCATTAACAAATCAAATAGTCAAATTGACTATTCCTGATTGTGCAAGACTGGCTAACAATTAGATCATATTAAAACATTAGAAATAAAATGGGAAAACATTCGAATAGTATTTTAATTTAATACATATTTTAATAATTAAACAATTGATTCAAATCGTGCAATTTAAAAAAAAAATCTGTTATCTTATAAAAAAAAATTTGTTAGTTATGCGATATTAAATTATAGTGAAATGTTTATCTGTAAGGACAAACATATAATCAACTTGTTCTTTTATAGTAAGAGATATACACGTAATCCATTACCAATGATTTTTCATTTAATTAATGAAATTTACGTTCGTATAGAAAAATTTTTACAAAACAATCTTTTTAAAATGTATAATATATTTTCATATAAATGAAATGATGTTCAGGCAATCTATGTACAATTCAGTTAGATAATATTTGAGAAAATAAGAACTCTCTGTTCTTATTTTCAAGAGTTCAATCTGTAAATATAAAAATGTATTATTTTGATACTATCTTTATATCATTCTTCAATTTTCAAGATCAATCAAAATTCCTTGTTGTCACCTTTATTATATATCTACTAAATAATCAATTCAAAATGAATTTCAATTTAAATTAATATCATCTTAATTTATTAATATTTAAAAAAAATATTGCAATGATAAAATACGTAATATTTTATCTTCTAGATAAGCTTAATATAATATTATTTTTAATATTATTAAGATATAATATATTAAGATAATAATAATTCTTCAAATAGATTTAAAAATAAAAAATTAAAAATAATAATATTCTTTTATTTAACAAATTTAAATCATTTATACTTCCCTTTTTATAAGCTAATTATAATATTTAAAAAAAAAAATCTATTTCTAAGGATTAACGTTAAAATAAATATTTATATTGTTCTTTACCTTTTAAAATGCTCGCTATTTTCTTCTATGATCAAATAATTTTCTTACAAATAGAGACACATGAGGAATGAAGGGTTGAAATTAATGTTACCCCGTTACAGTGGAATGCAATTCGACTTAATCGAAAGTACATCAAGGAGAAACGACGAACGAATTATCGATGCGTATTGCTATCGTAAGCTCTGACAAAGGCGAAGCTCGAACCAAGGCCATATACGCAACAAGACCTATTTTGTACGACTTCCTTGTCAACTAATGCGACGGCTCGATATACCCGCCAATGTTTCCTGAAAAAGAAGAGATGAAAAAATCACGTTATTTCTGGTCTTGCACAATGATAAAAAAAAAAATAAATAAATAAATAAAATTGAGAAAATATTACACAATGTGCATATTTGAAAGATAAATATAGATATGAATATGGGTTGATTGTGAAAATAATTGTGAAACATTTTTATTTGTTTTTATAAACAGAAAATTGAATAAATAATAATTTTTGTTAGAACTCGATAGCTTTGTTTATTTTGCTTATTTTTTAAAATAAAAATAAAATATATATATATGTATAGGAAAATTTTAATAAATTATTATTTTTTATTGGAACGTAAAAATAATAAAAGTATTTCTTCTTGAAATTAAAATATCAAAAGAAAACATAAAATATTACAATTTCTAATTATTTTCTTGTTTATCACTGGAATACAGAAATAAATTAAAACAAAACGTAAAATATAGTATATTAAAAAAATTCTATAAATTTTCGTAATGATTGTGTTAAAACCTGAAAAAGAAATTTCCTTTTAAAAAATAAACAAAATATTCCAAAAACGATCGAAGAATTAGAAAAAAGAATTAAAATAAAAAAAAAAAAGAATTAAAATAAAAAAGATTAAAAAAAAAAAAAAAAAGGCAAGTATATTGATGCGTGTAGAAGAAAAAAATGATAGAAAATCTGAGGATATAATAAAAGAGACTATTGACTGTGAGGCTATAGAATATAGAACATCCTTCAATGGTAAACCGAATCGAAAATCCTTGTGGAAAAGAGAGAATCGACAAAGTGCAATTTCCGCGGCGGAAATTACATCTACGATGAACGGTGAAAAGCTTTGTTGAAAACCTTTCCATGTACTTACACGCGTAAACATTGTATGCTTACTTACGTGTCAAGAATAAAAGTAACTGTTCAGAAGAGAGAAGAAGAAAAAAGTAACAACTGATTCGATACAGATGATTATTTATATGAAAAATGTAATCTGCATATGACATTTTATTTCAACCTCTTTCTGTGAAATTATTTATATTTTGTATCGATATGCGATATAATAATATATTTTCCCTTGGAATTGGTACAAATTTAATAATATTCATCATTTCTAATATTCAATTTATAATTATTAGAAGAGCGGCGAAATATGACTTTAAAATATAATACGGCAAAGAAGTATTTATATAAATACGTGAAAAATAAATGAAATTTTGAATATTTTAATATTGAATTTTTATGCACCATTAAAAAAAAAGGACAAGTATATTGATGCGTGTAGAAGAAAAAAATGATAGAAAATCTGAGGATATAATAAAAGAGACTATTGACTGTGAGGCTATAGAATATAGAACATCCTTCAATGGTAAACCGAATCGAAAATCCTTGTGGAAAAGAGAGAATCGACAAAGTGCAATTTCCGCGGCGGAAATTACATCTACGATGAACGGTGAAAAGCTTTGTTGAAAACCTTTCCATGTACTTACACGCGTAAACATTGTATGCTTACTTACGTGTCAAGAATAAAAGTAACTGTTCAGAAGAGAGAAGAAGAAAAAAGTAACAACTGATTCGATACAGATGATTATTTATATGAAAAATGTAATCTGCATATGACATTTTATTTCAACCTCTTTCTGTGAAATTATTTATATTTTGTATCGATATGCGATATAATAATATATTTTCCCTTGGAATTGGTACAAATTTAATAATATTCATCATTTCTAATATTCAATTTATAATTATTAGAAGAGCGGCGAAATATGACTTTAAAATATAATACGGCAAAGAAGTATTTATATAAATACGTGAAAAATAAATGAAATTTTGAATATTTTAATATTGAATTTTTATGCACCATTAAAATTACCTTTACATTTCTAATACTATTTTTAAGAAAAATATTTCCCATCACTTATTCTCATATATTAAAATTTCTTCATATTTCCACGTCTTCCTTTAAAACTTCGTCAAAAATTATTGTCCATTCATCCGAAATGAAATCCAACGTTTCTAATACTCCTGTTCAAAAGCAAAATTGCCAACCAAATCCCAAACCAACAACAAAACTGGCCTTAATCAACACTAACGAGTAGTCACCCGATAAATAGGTTTCCCTTGGTACACGGGAAGCTCATTTTACATCCGGAACTTGGATGGAGGAGCTATAGGTAAGTAAGTAGGTATTCACTCGGAGAAAGGCGTAGGTCGAGCTTTCGTCTTGGTCGCGAGCTTGCAGAATCGTCAGTCGTTTCTCGCGTCTCGTCGACGAAGCACACCCCCAACCCTGTATAAGAAACATTCGCGATATATCGGCAAAATTTAATTGTAATCTCCACGCTTTCGTCCCATCAATCTTTCTCCATCGTTTTCTATCTCTCTTGTTTCAATGAAGAAATCACCATCCCGTATATCTTGTTCCAAGAAGAGCGAGTCTCTTTAATCGTTGAGAAGAAAAAGAAGAGGGGTAACAATACGTGAGAGAAGTGATTAAAAAAAATAAGAATTTTTTTTATCCTGTGATTTTAAGATTTCTTCGCAAGAGTTAATCGGTGTATTTTGATTGATTCGTGTTCGATCGATTTTTCATGGAGTTTTCATGCGAGGAATTCTTTGCGCGACACGATGAGAGACAGAACTTTTAGAAGTGAGAAAGAGCTTTGAAGATCCGTGAATCATGGTGGATAAATTGCACGAGTACGAGGGTTTCGCTGGGAGGGTGCACGATGTTCGAGACAAGTTTAAAGAGAAATGGGAAACGTGGAAGGAGTGGAAGAATGGGATACCGATGGACCAGGGGATCGAGGGGATCTTGAATCATATGCGAGGACCGCCAAAGTTGGAGAGAACTTTGGACGATTATGCGCATATTTACAGGTATATGCATTTATGGGAAATGTCAAAGTGCAAAGCTATGGAAAAAATATATAAAATTCGAAGTAAACTAATCATAATATTTGGCGAATAAAAAATTATTATTTAAAATTATTATTATTTAGAATTATTATTATTATTAGAATATTATTAGAATATAAAGTAATTGTGTTTTCAGATATATTTGCAGATAATTTGATATTGATGTAATAGTGTTATATAAAACATAATAGTATAGTGATAAATAAAGGATTAAAAAATTTTTAAAATCTTCTGTATATTATAAAGAATATTCTGTGAAAAGAAATAATATAGAATATAAAAATTGAAATATTTTCCAGAAAAAAGACACGAGGAGAATTGGTACGTGTATCCGCAGCTGTAATGGGAATCGAATTTTCATATGCCGCGGAAACAGCGTTTGTTTCACCAACTTTATTGAAAATCGGCGTCGATCATCAGCATATGACCCTCGTCTGGGCACTCAGCCCTCTTATTGGCTTTTTCGTGACGCCGATTTTAGGAAGCTTGAGCGATAGATGCAGATTGAAATATGGAAGAAGAAGACCCTTCATCCTATTATTGGCTCTAGGAGTTTTAATAGGTAAAATTATATACAAAAAAAAAAAAAAAAAGTTTTATACACATTTGGATATATTTCGAATATGTTTTCTTTTCGTCGATAATTTTCTTGTAAAAATTTCGAAAATAAAAACAAAACAAACAAAAAAAAATGAAAACAATAACGTTATTTAAGATTCTGTTCTTCTAATCAGTGGATACAAGTAAAATGTTTTTTTTTTAAATTTTAAAATTACGAAATAAATTACATAAAAAAATAATGACAATATATAATTAATTCTTTCATCTTTAAGATTAATAATTCCTTCATAGATTGAATTATTTTTCTGTTGACACGGGGCTAATTAAAATCCTATTATTCTATTATAAATTTGATTATGTACTTATCTTAACTTATTTTTCTATTATTATAGTTCATATTATTTCAACATTACGTTCATTGTCAAAAGATAAATTTCGAAAAAATTGTTTAAGAAAAACATATGAATCCAAGAAGCAATTAACAATTTCATTTCATTTTCTTTTGTATTAATAAAAAATGAATTTATATATTCTCCACTCGTTATGCCTGAAAATAGAATATTAACTATTAAAACTTTTCATAATATCATATTAATTATGATTAATTGAACAAATAAATCATAAAAATAATTTGTACAATCTATAAAAGGAATAAAAAGTATAATTGAACTAATCGATCGATACTTTGCGTGGTACGAGTAAGAAAAAAAAGAACAATTTCTCCAATTTAAAAATGAAAATCTAAAATTACATTCTCTTCCCATTTTTTACTCACTTGTCAAGGATTAATATTAGTACCGAACGGTGAAGACATGGGATACGCGTTTGGAGACATTCCATCTACATCGACTAATTATACAGTTCCCGTGGGACATCGAACCACGGCGAAACATGCGAAAGAGGAGTTAGCGAAACCTCCATCTCACTCTTGGGGAATTTTCTTCACGATTCTGGGGACGGTTTTGCTCGATTCGATGCAGATGCTTGTCAAAGTCCAGCCAGAGCTTATTTACTAGACGTTACTGTGCCTGGCAAGTAAATGCAACTTGTTTATTCAATTATTTCTTTTGAGTAAAATAAAGTGAATATAATAGATAAAAATAAAATAATGTAATTATAAATTTAATATAATTTTTACCATGATGCATCATAATTGTTACATTTTTATAGATGACCATGCTAAAGGTTTAAGTACATTTACCATAATGGCGGGTTTAGGAGGCTTCATGGGATATGGATTAGGTGGCATTAATTGGGATGCCACGGCAATAGGAGTTATGTTAGGTGGACATCTTCACGCCACTTTTACCTTGATAACGATTATTTTCCTTATTTGTGTTTCTTGTACTATTACTAGTTTCAAAGAAATCCCATTAGAATTGTTGGAAAAGGATCAGGAGTATCAATATTTACAAGAACAAAAGGTTTGCTTAATATTAATTATTAATATTAGTAGTAGTAATATTGATTTAATTGAATTCAAATTCATTTAATTATTAATATTGATTATTAGTAATTATTGGATATACTATTAAAATACATTAAAAGCAAAAAATTTGAAATTATTAATAGAAAATTTTTGTTTTCATACCTTTTTTTCTTTTTTCAATATTTTCAAAAGTATTTTGTTATTCTTGAATTTCATTTAGACATCTGGCGAAGAAAAAGAAGACGAGCAAAAGGAATATGAAAAAATTACCACAGACGAGTGTGTTTCTTATGGCACTCTGGACAATGAACAAGAAATTGCTACTAAAAAGGACGTAAGTCGATTTACCATTCGTTAAAATCAATTTTTAAATTTCATTAATTATAATTAAATAAAAAGTAATAATATCAAAATTATATATTTTTAATATAAAGATCATTTATCCTAGTATTCTTCTTTTTAAATAATAGAAATAAAATGATAACATGATAAGTGAAATAATCATGTTTTTTTGAAATTTGGGGGAAACAGGAATTTGTTCTTAAACCCCTTCCAATTCAAGAACCGGAGAAAAGAGCTGGTCAAGTACCAATGATACCAGATGTAACCACTCAAAATACTGATTACATGAAACATGGTTTCAACGAAGATATGGGAGGAAATCCAAAAGCCACATTAACGGAATATCTTCTTTCAATTGTGTATATGCCGCACAGTCTTCGTATGGTGTGCTTAACTAATTTATTTTGTTGGATGGCACACGTATGTTATTCTCTGTATTTCACGGATTTCGTTGGAGAAGCTGTTTATGGTGGAAATCCACAGGTATCTGAAATATTAATATTAATATTAATATCTCTTTGACGTTATAATTGTTTCTTACTACTAATAAATTTATCACCATAATTTTTTACTTTTAATTTTTTATTTGTAAATTATAGGCTCCAGAAGGTACTAAGGAAAGAGAATTATATGAAAGCGGCGTTCGTTTTGGATGCTGGGGAATGTCTATGTATTCATTATCTTGTTCTTGTTATTCACTGGTTATCGAGAAACTTATAGAACGCTACAAGTACATAAATTAATATTTTCTTTTTTTTTTTCTTTTATAAAATTAATTCTTTATAAGAAAAATAGATAATTAATTATTTGTTAAAATACGATCATATACTAAAAATAATCTTTATTTTATTTTTTACTTAGCTTCTTTACAATTTTTATAATTGTAGATATTTATTTTGATAAAAAAGAAAATAATTTTCTAGGTAAAAGATATATAAGTATTATTTGTTTTAACAGAGCTCAGAGAGTTTACATTTGCGGCTTACTATTCTACAGCACCGGAATGATGATGATGGCATTAACAAAACATCCCGCAGGAGTGATTATATTCTCGTGGACCGCAGGTGTTATGTACTCCACGTTATTCACTATGCCGTATCTGCTAGTTGCACATTATCATGCTTCATCTACTGTAAGTAATCTTGAGAGAATATATCCCAAAATGAATCAATCAAAAAATTTAAATTAATTCATAATTCCATTTAAAATTAAAAAAAAAATCTAAATAGAATTTAAATTTTTATTAGAAATGTAATTGTAGTTTAAAAAAAAGTAAAAAAAAAAATTTTAAATTCAAAATTAAAACTTAAATTTTAATTATAGTAATTATTAAAAAAAAAAATGAAAAGAAGAAATTTAAAAACATAAAAAATATACATATTTTCATAAAAATTAATAATATCATAAGTATACATTAAATTTTATTACCATCTATTTTGTTATGAATGTTTTATAGAATAATTTAATAAAATAGTAATATTATTAAATGGCATAACATAAAATGTAAAAAACATGTATATGCATATCGGACATAAATTAAATTAATTGATTTAGTTCGAAGTGACAACCGAAGGTGAAGCTATTCAAAGCGGAGGAGTACGTGGTCTTGGCACAGACGTTGCAATCGTCTCTTCCATGGTGTTTTTAGCCCAGTTCCTACTCTCCTGCTGTCTCGGAACAATTGTTAGCAAATCTGGAACTACTACGGCGGTGGTATACGTAGCTAGTACTCTCGCTGCTTGCGGTGCCATTTCTGCAACGCAGATCATGTATCTGGATCTTTAAGCTTATTTTATTATTTTCCAATGAAATTTAAATTAATTTTATCTGTTAACTATTAATTTTATATTTATTTTTGAAAATAATAATTAAAAAACTTTATTATTTTTAAATGTTTTTTAAATAGATTTTAATATTCTTAAAATGAAAACTCACGAATTTCTTTCTATGAAAATTGACATATCCATCATTTTCGATTCATTTCAATTATTATATATTTCAATTAATTATATAAAAAGAATTTCAAATAAACAAGAAAGATCCGTAAAAATTTTAATGAAAAAAGTTGTGTGTAAAAATATAATAATGGTAACGATGCACAAATAATCGATGCTTCGTAATCTACGATACATTCATACAGATACAATTCTGTATAATTCAACGATATTTGTAAATAAATGTAACTTGCAAGAACATAATAAAATAATACAATTCATATCTGGATAAAAGACATACCTTATATACCTTAATAATCATCATATGATATCGAGTCACAAATTTCAAGAGCAATTTGAATTTCTCTAAAAATTAATCTACTTAAATCCACAATGTATTTTTTAACATATTCATCTAATTCAAAATCCTATAAAAACAAAACAAGAAATATTTATTTGCTTGTAATTACTATATTTTTCTTATACTTTTATCTTTTATGAATTTTTTATTAAAATTAAAACACAAAAAAAAATAAGCTTAAAATCATTAGAATGATGAAATTTTTCATAGATTAATTGATGAAGAAAAATTATTTTTTTATAACTTTATATTTTTTTTATAATTTACATAAAATATTTTTAGTCAACTATTAATAATAAAATTTTCTTAATATACATTTAAATGAGTGATCCCCATACCTTTATAATTTCACATTGTTTGTCCTTACAAATTACAGGAAAAGAAAAAAATATTCCAGATCGAATTGAATAAGAAAGATCGGATAGTACACCCATACTAGTCCATTCATTTTCTGGAGTACCATTCCATAAGATTTTACAGTGCTCTGCTAATGCATAAGCTATGGAATTAATTAAGCATGATCTATTGTTGATACTTTGAGTAATCTAAGGAAAAGAAACGTAATTATTTAATTAATGAATATTAAATTTTATTTTATTACAATACAATATTTAATACAATAACAACAACAATTGTCTTGTGATAATTTGCCGTAATTATTGCAATTTACGATTCATTCTTAAAAAATTTGCAAAAATTTTAACAAAAATTCAAATAAAGCATAAAATAAGTGTATACAATGAAGGAAATGCATTTTCATATTTTTCTATTAAATATAATAATAATAATATCTCTTTTTTAACTTAATATAAAAATTTTTAATATTAATATTGGTATTATTAATTTTAATACCAATAATATTAATAATTTGATAATAACAATATTTTATAATAAAATTTTTTAAATTGTTAAAAAAAAATATTAACATTAATGAAAATAATAAATATAATAAAAATTTATCATATATAAAAAATCAAAACTAATTGATGTATGTTATTAATATATTGTTATAATAAATTAAGAAATTAAATGAAAGTTAAGAAAAAATGAAAATAAAAATCTTACACGTGGAAGATCATTAGATATCCACACTTTTAAAGAATCTTTCAAAGGTTTTCCATTGGTTAAATGTAAATATCTACAATCTGGAAAACAATATCTTCCATTTGAACCCCAAATTATTATATTTTTCACTTCCGTTGGAAGACAATTTGCTCGTGCGGCAATCTAAAAATTTAAGAATTTGTCAACATTATATTATTTAAAATAATTAAAATTAAATAATTCATAATTGTAACTTAATATTAATAATATTTAAATTTAATCTGCATAATAAGTTAAAAAAAACAATAATAAATTTAAAAAAATATTTATATAAATAATACAATGGATACACCTGAGTTTTAACAATATTTAAATTAAGCATGGACAAAGTAGTTATATTTTTAACAGGAATAGATTTCGCATATTTGGATATAATCGTGGCAGCAGTATTTCCGAGTACAATAATTCTTGCATCCTTTTTCACATAGTTATTTATAATTTGACCCTGTGACACAATTATATAAAAAGATTTATATAAATCCCAAAAATTTCGATATATTGAATTTAATGATATAATACTATAATATAATAATTAATACATAAAATTTGGAAATAAGAACATAATCCTTAAAAAATGATTCTGTATATTCGGGCTCTTTGAAATCATATTCTCTCGAATGACCAATGCAAATTACAACATCTGCATCTTTGAATTCGAAAACATTATTGCTGTAACTGATACCTGTAAATATACATAATGTTATATATATTCGTAGAATATCTTTAGAGAATCGATTCTAGAGATTAAAACAAACACGAAGATTGATATATATACAAAAATATCAATTAAGATTTATTTATTAAACAATTTAATTTTGTGTTAAATGAAAAAAGATAAAAATATGAAAAACTGATGCTATACCAAAAAGCTATTTCAATTTTTCTTCATCTAAAGTAAATTTTAATTGCTTATAATTTAATAAATAAGCCTTAATCGATGAATTTTTGTTTTTTTTTTTTTGCATCTTAATTTCTAGAATCGATTTTTCAAAAATGTCCTATTATATCAATGCATTATATTATTTATATATATTATTATTATTAAAGATATCTCATTATCATCTATATTTTGTATTCCTTTAACAAATAATCTGATTATTTTAGTATTAAAACACGATTACCTTTTTGATTATTCTAATATTCAAACATTTGATATTTGAATAATTTAACATTCAAGTCATTATTGCCATTCAAATATACATAGTATTCGAATATATTACTATTCAAATATTTTGTTAATAATTAAATAGATCTCTCTAGAGTATTCATATCATATTTATTATTTAAAAATAAAAAAATGTATAAGTATAAAAATCCATATGCATTTACCGCTTAAAAGCTTAGGACTAAAGGAATTTAATTCAATTGCAAGGCTTTCCAAAAACATTGTCTTGGTCGATAATTCGTAAAGACTGACAAAAATACATTGATTTTTTCCGAACACATCATCAGTGAGTATTCTGTATAGAAACGATCGAGTAATTTCCGTTGTGCCATCTGTAACTACTATTTTCAAAACTTTATTTTTAAATAATTGATGTAAGTAATTATTAACCATATATTCATTCTTTTCTAAATTCATGTTGTTTTTTGTATCGTTTATTAAATGAATATCGATATTAATCATAGCATTATATTGTTTTAATTAAAAAAAAACAAAAAGAGATAATTTTTTAAACAGAATTATAATAAAAATATAATTATTTATTAGGTGCGCAAATTATTTATACATTTTTCTAAAATCTCTTTTTTAATACGGGGATAATCTGGATTTTGTTTCAAAACTTCGTTACAAGCTTCTATCCCATCTGCATAAGCTTTAGCTTTCATCGAACAATAAGCTAACTTGTAGGCGACAGACAATTTTGATTTTCCACCATATTTCCATGCTTGATTGTATTGCGACGCAGCTTCACGATAATTTTGCTCCTTTTCTGCAATGTATCCAGATAGTTCATGAGCCCTTACACAAGTGGCATTATGTTGTAGAACACGTTTTAAAAGATCATTTGCTAAATCATATTTGTTAGATTGTACATAAATATCCGCTAAGAGTAACCAACAACGTTCTAAATATTCAGCATCCTCAAAAGTCCATGTATTCTTGCTGACACGTTTCAAATGATTTCGAGCTCTAGGAGTTTGTTTTAAAAGAATATGAGCCATTGCCATGCCTAAAGCTGGTCCAACATGATCTCGTAATGCTTCTTGACTAGCTAATGTTGTACAATCTTGTAATGCTTTTTCAACATTGGATTTTTGTTTTGTTGCAAGTAGAAAAAAATTACTTAACAATCTATGTGTGAGCATTTCATGTGGACTGCCTTTAGGATTCAAATCCTAAATAGAAATAATTATTTTAAAATAATTCTTTCATCAATATTTTGTTTAAAATTTAAATTAAATATGTAACTTTAAAATTATAAATTTATTATGTTTTTTTTTGTGTGTTTTTTTAAATACCTGTAGCAAGCGATAGGCTGTTTTCAAAGCCATTGTTCTAGAATCCTGATATTCAACATCATCATCGTTAAAGACTTCATTTGAAAGAGAAGAATCATCATCCGGGTCTAAACAAATTTCGATCATATTATATATTGCTTGTTGACCCCACTCAGGATCACGTCTTGCAAAATTAAATTGACGAAGTGCAGAATTTAATCGTCCCATACGCCAATCCAACAAACCGGCACAATAATAATAACCGGCTGTTAAATTTGCATTGCTCATTTCTAGTTCTGCTCGATGAAGCCATTCTTCAAGATCGTCCATATCTCCTATAAATTTATGTCATTATAAATAAATTAGACATCAGAAATTAGATAAAAAAATTTTTAATCTTTAATAATTCACCTATTCTACGAGAAACTTCTATCAATCTTGCTAACGCGGTCCAATAAGTTGGTTGTTTTAATAATAGTTGTCGAAAATGAAACGCTGCCGTGTCAAAATCAACTTTTCTAAATGCAAGATCTGCCATCATTATCGAAGCAGCTTCATTATTAGGATCAGTATTCAAAAGAATTGTGCAACTTTGAGCACATCGATCCAAATTATTAGTCTGCTAGTTCAAAATATTAATAAATTATTCAATGATTACCATTTATATATAATTATATATATTAATTACCTGCATGTAAAGCTTTGCTAAAGATAATAAAGCATTTATGTTTGCAGGTTTATGATTTAATGCTTCCTTATAATATATAATAGCTTGATCATAATCTCTTAAAGAAGAAGAATGATCAGCCATTGTTAAACAAATATTAGCCAAAAGCTGTTTCTCATCTTCCAAATTAGAGCTTGTTCCCATACGTTGCATGTATCTATGCTGATTTTCTTTAGCCTCTTTCAATGCTGATAAAGCGCCTTGTATATTATCTGCTTTTTCTCGAGTTTTAGCGAGCAAAAATAAAAGTTGAGTGCGTACTTGTAAACTTTTTAAATCTGAATCTCGACGACTTTCTGAAATATGAATAAATTATTTTATATATATATATATTTCCTATATATATATAGGAAAAATAATTCTATACCTTGCAATTCCTGGACCAATGTAGTTTCCGCTTTATCGTATTGTTTCATCTTTATGAACAATTTTGCAAGATCTAATTTTAAGCTTTTAAAGTTTTCTTGTTTCATCACATCTCTGTAATAATTGATGGCTTTTGTGTACTGATGCGTTTTTACGAGTGCCTTTCCTAGCTTACTTGCAATATCTATTTTATTCCTAGGATTCTGTTTTAAAGCTTGTTCATATGCTTCTACTGCTCTCTCTGGTTCTTGAATAGAAATATATGCATCACCAAGCATACTATATGTCTTAGGACCAGGACAATGTTCAACCAATTCTCTATAAAATATTCAAATAGAATGAAAAAAATAGGTGACAAAAATAGGTAACAATATGTGAATTTATAAAAAACAAACCTGAAACACATAGCAAAGGCAGGACGATCTTTTTTGTATTTTAAATTTATTTCGGCTAAACGCGTATGTGCTTGTAAATAATAAGGTTGATCTGGAGTTATTTTAGATAAACAATCAATGGCATTATCCAACTCTCCCATTTCTAAAAGTAATTCAGCATTTCCTATTAATATTTTACCTTCTTCTGACGTATTTCCAAGATTTACTTTTGCATCTTGTATTATAATAATTGCATCATTAAATCGTTTCATTTTTCCATAAGCAGAAATCAGCTCAAGATACAATGTTGCCATATCTGATGTTGAAATATCTGAGATTTCTAAATTATTACTCTTGTATGGTTGTATTCCTGCATACGACATAGCTGTCTGAAAGCTCTTTATTGCACCTTCCATATCATTTGCCTGTTTTTGAACCATGCCAGTAATTAAATGATAAATTGGATTGTCTCTGATTTTAAAATTATAACTTAAACCAACTTCAAGACTTTGTGAAGCCAATTGATAATTCCCTTGACATGCTTGAATTTGAGCCATTAATAAATAAGCTTTTGCATTAGATGAGTCAACATTGTCTAAAAAATTCTTTAATATATATGAAGCTTCTTCTAAATTTCCACTCTGCATTTTAGCTTTACTAATTAATAATTGTGCCATACTTAAACCAGGATATGCTTCTGATAATTCTTCTAACAAATATAAACTTGCTTCTTTGTAATTGGATACACTTTCCTCAAAATTTGTTACATTATTTGTTATAGAATAAATTAAACGTTGTTTAGAAATTTCTAAACATAAATCAGGATTTAATTTTTTTATATAATCGTAACCATATGGTACATATTTACAATTGTCCAGTATGATTGTAGCTGCATTATTTAAATAATTCAAAGCTTTGATGGAATCATTGGAATTTAATTTTGCAGATATAAAAAGCAATTCTGCGTTTACCGAATTAGATTGTATTTCCATCAAAAAATCTATTTGTTGTTGTGCCAAATCCGAAGCGTCGATCGAAGTATCTAAAAATTGACAATGAGCTAATCCCATCAAAGCAGCAAACGAAGATTCGTTTATTCGAATAGCACTTCTATACCAATGTTCTGCATCTTTTATTTTATCTAATGAAATATACAAATTTCCTAATTCTATCATAAGATCTGCATTTTTCAAATGCTGTTGTAACATTTTTTCAACGATCTTAGAAAGTTCTGTTAAAATTCCTTGATTCTTACAAGCTATTCGTGAAAATAACTGAATATTATTCACTAAAATTGTAATATTCTTTGTTTCTATAATTATCATATTTCTAAAAAAGGATTGTAAATGTTTTAATCCTTCGTTGAAATTTCCGTCTCTGCAAATATTTACAAATGCATGTGCTTTTATTGCATCTAAATTATTTGAATCAATTGATAATATTCTGTTAGCAGTCTCTAGAACTTGATCCCAATCCTTCATTCCAAGTTGATTGTACAATTTTTCAACCAAGGGTAAACATAATTTAGGATAACGTACAATTAATGAATTCAATGTTAATATTGCTCCTGCGTAATCTCCGCGTTGTTGTTTATATTTTGCAAATCCAAGCAAAGCATTCACGTTCTTTGGATCTTGTTCTAGAACAATTTCGAATAAACTTGATTCGCTCGAGTTATTTTCGCTTATAATAAATAAATCCACCCAACCTTTCGTTAATAGAACATTTTTATTAGATGAATCGAGCTTGTAAGCTCTTTCTATGTATTCTTTAGCTTTATCAATCTTCTGAGATAAAAGCAATACTAAAGCTGCTAATAAGAGGGCATTTGAAGACGATTTTCGTTTCTCATCCCTAATTCTTGTTTCAATCTGTATTATAGTAGTTTTTTCAACATTTTCATTTTTCATATAAGCAATATTTTGAAGAAATAATGCTGCCAATGTATTGTCTGCATTATTCATTAAATTCGAACTTTCTTTAATTGCTTCTTGAATCTTCCCAGTTAATATATATGCGAGACTTAGAAATATTCTTAAGCATTCATTTGTTGGATATATTTCACATGCTTCTTTGCAATAAACTAACATGCCATTGTAATAAAATTGATAACAGAACCATTCAATTATAGTAATATATTCTATCTCCTCCATTTTATTAACAATATGAAGCAATAATAAATTTTAAATCATAAATAATTTAACTCAATAATTACTCAAGATTTCAATAACTAATGATATAAAAATTATTTATTAAGAAGAATATATCAAAAAATCTTCTGGATCAGGTAATTCATATATAATATTAGGGTCTAAGGATTTTGAATCAGGTCCTTCTAAAATATGTGGTGGTCCAACAACATATTCTTCAAGATCTGGATTTTTAATTGCAAGATAATACTTCTGCATGTACTCACATGTCAAGTACATATAGTAATTATTCAGAATAACATATGTAAATGCTGTCTAAAAAGATTATATATTGTTATTACATATTATATATTTTTATTACATATTACAAGAATATAATAAAAATATAATTCAATAATATAATTCATTCATAATAAATATTTATTTAAAACTATAAAATATTAAAAATAAATTTTACCTCTGTAAGCAATCGTGCTAAACCTTTTCCTGTATATCTATGAGGTACATTAATCATTTGCATATCTAAAACTTTCCCTTCAGATATGTAGTGTAATACTGCTCTTGCTAATCAAAAATAAAAAAAACAAATTAAAATATTATTTATATTAATAAAATATAATAAAAATCAGACTTCTTTCATCTTTTCTTTTTTTAAGTAGAAAGTATGAATAATAATTAAAAACATATATATTATAATAATAATTTCTTGAATAATATATCTTACAATCATTATCCAATTTTACGTAGAAAAGTCCTCGTTTCTCACTATGATGAACTGTATAAAATAGCCTTGTAAATCTGTTTCGTTTTATTTTTGACGATATTAATGACGATAATTTAATCATATAACTCATACCATTTGTCACATGTAAAATACTGATAATAAAATGTTTTTTGATAATTCTAATTAATTATATACTTACACATTCATTTAATTTACAAAATATATATCTTTTTCATAAAAACTTTGAATATATAATAGGTTAGACTTTTGTTGATGAAGTATTGCTTAGCAACAAAATTGATTTTAAGCGATGTTTTTTTACAAGAAAATATTTCATTTATAAAATATAAATGAAATATGATATTTATTATTTATATATTTTATATGATATATTTGTAAAAAATTATTAATATTGTATATAAGTTAATGATTTTAGTAATAATAAAACACATATATAAAGATAAAATGTTAAAATATTTTTTATGTATTTTTTATATATATATAAATATTTTTTATGTATTTTAAATAATTCATATAATTTATTTATTGATATTCAAGTCTTTTTAAAAAAGTATATTGTTATAATAAAGATAGGTTATAATGAAATGTGATATAAATCTATTCTTAATATTCATTGATGATGCATCAAACCCATAAACATTAAGATATATTGATATAACAATACAATGTCAACATAAATTTGTGCTGTTGCAAATACAACTTCATCTGGATTTAATTCTATTCTTCTTCCACCCATAATTGTTTGTATATCAAAGAATAAGTACTAAAAAATGAATATTTTTTCATTTCTAAAATATATCATAAAACAATATATTATACTTGAATTAAATAATTCTTTCAAAATGTATATTAACTGTTGATAATAAGGTCATTCCTATAATTGAAATCAGGATATGTAATAATCTAATGTATGTAAACATCAAGGTTATTATCAACACAAAAATTGATACAATAGCAGCCAGTCCAATAATGAATAATATCCCTGTTCTCATGGTTAAATCAAACTGTAAGATTATTTATGTTATTTACAACTTTTTTATTAATTCATATGTAAAATTTTGTTGAAAATACCTTAGTAAATGTTGCAATGAGACTTATTCCTAATGTAATTAATGTTGTCATACCTAATGCCATCAAAATTATTTCAATTTCATAAAAGGCAGATACAAAAGCAGCTAGATATGACATAGCAACTGTCTGGAAATAGTATTTTTTTTAATAATTTTGAATGTTAAATAATAAAAACATTCAATCAATAAAGTTTTAATACAATTAAAAATCTTACCAATTTGCATAGCCACAAATAATTGAAAGGTGGAGATCGCCTAGCTCCTTCAAAAAACGATATGGCACAAAAAGAAACAGCGAAGCATATCCTAATAAAATACTGCATTATGCACTAAATAATATACCTAAGTAGTTGCAAAATTTACGTACATAGCTACAATCCACAAATACCAATGAATTATCATAAATTTTCTTGCAGAATCCCTGCAATACAGTTATTAAAATAACATAATTTATTACATCAATTTATTAAAGTGATATTATTAGAACATTAAATTAAAATGCTTACACGAATAGAAAAATTGCTATGACACCAGATGTAAATAATAATTGAAGTGTTAATATACAGAAAACTTTTCTAATAAAAGTTCTTCTCACTCTGTCTTCTTTAAAATCGCCCATATATTCATCATCTTCTATGTCTCTTCTTCGTTGTTGCTCGCGCCAAGCTCTATATAATTGTTCGTTTTCTCTTTCTCTTTGAGCAACCATTTCATCAGTGACTATAGTAGTATATGGACCCTGATAAAAAAAACATATTATTAATAAATTAATTACAATATATTAATTTATTATAATTAATAAATAAATATGTAAACATAAGTTATAATTTAATACTCACTGTTTTTATTCTCTGTCCTCTATATAAAGGAGGCAATTGTGGAGGACCTGGTATAAATCTTTGATTTTCTGCCATTAGATAATTGATAATGAAATTATTTTGACTAAGAAATATTTAAATAAATAGTTGTATACTGTCTATCACACCAGAAATAATATATCTATTAAAAGTATAATATAATCAATTTATAATAAAAAAGTACAATAAATTATTTTCTAATTAATTAAAATTTTTTATTTAAATTTTAAAAATGTCAAAACATGTAACTTTTCTTTCTATTTTTTATAAATATATATTCAAATATTTTTTATTTCTTAATTTTATTTAAATGCAAAATTTTAAAATACTAATATAGTTTCATAATATGAACATATAAAATATCAAACTATTAATTCATATATAAACAAATGAATGCATTTATATATAATGCATGATAGAAACAAAATACATTTTTGAAGTATAATACATAAATATATATACAAAACTCTTTATAAAACTTTACATAACTTAAATAGTACCATTGAATGAGATAAAAGAAAACAAGAATTACTTTAATTCTCTTATTGTAATGTAATTTGTTTATACAAGTGATATACGTATAAAATAATAACAATATGCGTATATCTTTTTTTAACAATAATGTAATTTAATTAGATAAGTCATTTTAAATTATATTATAATTAACTACGTATTATAATTATAATTATATAATAATAAATTTCTTATAAGCTCTGGAAAACAGTGTATCTTTGGACTATTTTGCTTTTTTTTCTTTTCTTTTCTATTAAATAATATATTATTTAACAGAAAAATTTTAATAAAAATTATGTATTATTTACGAACATACAGAGTGTTTCTAAAAATATGTAATAATCTAAATTAATTATCATAATTGATCAAATGATATAATTCCGTATAATACATCTATAATTGAAATAAAAAATTATATAAATATTGACCAATATATTGAAAGTATTAACAATATGAAAATTATTTATTTTTTACATGTATATGAAATTTTAAGAATATATATTTAAAAAAGAAAATATATTTTTATATAATTTTTATATAATTAAAAAATTATGCGTGATTAGAAACATTCTGTACATATGATAACATAGTTACAGGTACATAGAAATTCCTTGAACATACAATGTGCGTTTAAATTTCTGTTTATATATGTATGTATATAATAAATTTTTAACTTATTATTAAATAGTACAAAAATATGATATTGTCTTATAATGGCAATCTCAAAGTTTTTAGAATTTTTACTAATATTAAACAAGAAAGAATTTTACAAGATATGAAATTAAAATATTTGAATCATAAAATTAATTTGCATATTTTCAATTGTTATAACGTAAATCTTTATAATGATTTTGCATATTTTTACACGAAATCTAAAAAGACATTTAAATATCAGCTTAAATCTTATATTTATATATATTTATATAAACAAGTTTCAAATTAATGAGATAGAAAGATTTTGTTTTGATTTTCAAGTATTTTTACATGTATTTTGTTATTTTAGATATATTTTAAATATTATTTTAAAGTAAATTATATTATTTGATGTAATATGTTTAAGAACAATGATAAATACTATAATGATTATTTCGTACAATATTAAATATATCAATTATCATCATTAATTAAAAGCATTAGAAGTCTTAATAATGTTATAATAACAAATAGAATTATAAAGTGAAATATTTTACTAAAAATAATGATAATCATATAAAATAATAAAATTAAATTGAAAATTAGATTGTAATAAATATAAAACAATATATTAATTTCTGTTTAGCTGATTCTGATTAAATATCAGTCTTGTAAATAGCATATGTAAAAATTTTCTTTATAATATATATGAATATATAGAATTTATGAAATTCAGTTTGCAAAGCTAATGAAAATTTATGACGCCTAGGCACTATCAGTTTAATTAATTATATTTAAATATTAATATATATATTGTATGTATCATATGTTATTATGATTTTCTGATATTATAATCCGCATTGATTAATTTGCTGTTGTATTTTGTTACATAGAAGCTGAAAAATTTATAAAAAAAAAACATTATTATTTTTTAAATAATTAAAAGATTATATTTTTTAAATATAAAAATATATACTAATATTTTTTTCAATTATGTAACTTACTTGTCTTATATTATAATCAGGTATTAAAATTATTTTTGATTGATCTGCGATACCAAATAAGCCTAATTTCTTTTTTTTACTAGTATCTTTAATAAATATCTGAACACCCTTATCCACTAATTTCGGCTCGCTTATTCTTGCCATGTGTGAGTCCAATATACCTGTATAAAAAACAATAAAATATTTACTTTTTTAAATATTTTATATTTAATTTACAAAAATATAATTTAAAAAAATACTAACCCGCCATCCACCAAATAAGTCACTATGCTCTAAATATGCTATTCTCTTATCAGTAAGCAATAATACATCTCTATTAATGTATAAATGATAAAAATAAATATCAGTATTTGAATATTTTCCTTTTTCTAATTCCTATTAAGAAACATTTTCATAAATATTAAGAAATATTAATAAAAAAAAAATATTAAATACTTACATTTAAAATTTTATATCCTTCAGCATGCTCTCTAACATATGGTCTAACTAAATTATCAGGTTGTAAAAATCTACATGGCCTTACTTTCTTTACTTCTTCATTCAATTCAGTTGCACTGAAAAAAAATTAATATGAATAATTTAAATTATTCTTATGAAACATAAATTGTAATTTATATGATTTCATAAACATTATTTTTTATACCGTTTCACTGCATCAAATGAACCACTAGCAAAATCTATAACTCCAGCAGTTGGTCTAGTAACAAGACCAACCATTCCTTTTCCAAATCCTTTAAAGAATCCTTCCACACCTTCTTCTTTGGCACCTGATATGGGTTTCATTACAACACCAGTTACTCCATCAAAAACACCCTAAAAACCATATATTCATTTTTCATTACATTAATTTCTTTTCAATTATATTAATTTCTATTTCTGATTTTTTCTTACCATTACTAAGCCTTTGCCACTACGAGCAAGACCTTCTTGTAAAGTAGCTGGTTGTATGTTAAGCTGTTCTTGTCGTTTTCTTTGATAATCCTTATCAAATGTTAAAGCAGCTATACCTTTGCCTACGATAAATAATGTAATGTTTAAAAAAATATAATAATATTTAAAATAAAATAAGAATTCAAATTATAAATATTCTAAAAATTTTTAATTTATGTGTATTTAAATATATATACGTATAATAAATAAAATCATATTTGAATCGATTATAATATAAATAATATGCATTGTAATAATATATGTATACATATA